GGGGGGGCGGGGAAGCAGAGGTACCTTGCATGATAGTTGGATTCCAGGGAGGTAGTACACCCAATCCTAGGAACCATCCCCATCGCGGGGGGGGGTTGCAGGCCTGTACCATATATATATATCATATATATATATCTATAGTTGACCAGTTAAGATAGAGTTAATGCACACGACTGGCGGCCCTTCATACGCAAGGTGGGGGAAATTGTGGAACAACCACACTTCTTTGCACATGACGAAAACGTTTTCCTTGGATTGTCCACCTCGTGAATGAAGGGAGACTCTACAAGAAAAGGAAACATAAGGAAACTGTGGTTTTTACGTATTTTACTCTTTAGTTCTCAGGAATTATGCTCAAGTATCACCAAACGTCCAGCTGACAGACCAGACTTGCTGTTTTTTCTGTTGATTGCTTCCCTTCCCCGGAGTAACTACCACCCAAACGAAACCCTGGTTTAGTACTGGATCTGGGGCATAGGATTGCCATCCAGTCAACTAACATTACGTGTGGTTATGACTAACAGTTCGCCATGGAAAGATCCACCATTTTTTAATAGGTAAACCATCAATAAATTTGCCATCTATACCATGAATCACTTTATTTTGAATCGGTAAATCATCGAACTAAAAAAGGTTGATTTTTCATAGCAAAGTGTTGGCTTACCAGAGGGTACTTCCCCAGACACTATCCTCAGAGAAAAGGTCCCTGGAGACAACATCGACTTTTTTCTGAGAGTTGCAATTTTCAGCTTCCGGGGTGGGGTCGGGACAAAAAACACGTGTTTGTCATCCAGGTATATGCTACATAACAGCATCAAAAACCATCAATTACTCTTTCATCTCATCCAATGTCATTAGATGTGTGCAAGTTGGTGCCCCCCGCTATGTTTGTTGCTTGATCAAACCGCGCCAACTACCGTCATGCCCGCCATAATTCTTATGTAGATGTATGAGTTCTAAGTTACAAACCAACTGACAAAATGCGGCACTGGACTTTCTGTTTTTCTTGGATCCTTTTGAATCTCATTGAAAGCCACTCAATCTGAAAGCCACTCTCGAGGTACCGCACCATTTGGTTGAAGGAGGGAGGCGCCACTCCTGTTGCGGCTTGGTCCACAAAGACGCTGGAAAGATGAGGAAATCATCTTGCTATATGGGTTTGGATATTGACCACAACCATACAGACATTGTATAATTGAGCAGCCGCCAGACCCTCCATGTGGAGATTTAAAGGGCTGTTAAAGTAAGATGGCCCCGCGAAAGGTAAAACCACGTTCGCGAAAGCTTTTGCGAAGATTTGCTTCCGCAAAAGCTCGCGAAAGAGACTTTCAAGGCTCAAAATCCTGGTTTTAAGTATGTTTATAGGCAGCTTCCTCAGATGTATCTGGATCCATACAAATACATTATTCACAAATTTCTATAGATGTGACCCGAAAATCCGCGAAAGCTCCGCGAGGGATCCGCGAAAGCCCTGACTGCCCCCCCCTATTTGATAGGGGAGTGGCAGTGCCCACTGAGATCTGGCGCTCGTCGCAGTTGGGGCCCAAATCTGGCGCTCGCGGTTGAGGTCCGGCAGTGCCCACTTCTGGAGCTGGCGGTTGAGGGTGGGGTGGAGGACGAGGTGAAGGAGGAGGAGGAGGAGAAGAGGCGATGGGCGGCATGGAGCTCTGATAAAATCTAGAGTTATGAGTTGTTGTTAGGCACAAGGGGTACCCCAGCAATATATTCAAAAATGCATAACATTTGCAGATTGGGAATGCATATAGTTTTGGGGCCCCAAAGCAGACAAGGAAATTTTGCATAGGGCCATGCATATGATTCAAGCCAACCAAAAGAACATGCACAGGGTCATGCACATGCGCTTTGGGCCCCAGGAAAAATGCAGGCAGACTTCTCTGATTTTTTGCAAGTTTCCTTCACCAACATTCTAAAAAAATGTGGCAAGAGGAGCTCTGATCAGGGGCATTTATGTTGATGCATGTTGTGAAGGTACCCTCCACTGAATGCATGTTACTCTAAATGCTTGAGGAAAAATGATAGCCTTTCAAGAGTCAAGAATGTCTGTATATCATTTAGGATTGTTCAGTTCTGCTACTCGTTAGTTGTGCGTCAGCACCAGGTCAAAAAATGGAAATCGTGTTTCAATCACATTATTTCAATCCAGACTTTGTGATGTTTGTGTGATGTTCCCTGGCAGTTTTTGGACTCAGAAAGTCTTTGCATCATGGTGCGCATGCTGAAAATTAAGAATACATAGGTCAAAAGATCACCCCCGGACGGCTTTTGGGGAGACCGTGCAGATCAGGAAAGTTGGCCTGCCAGAATCCATTATGCATTTTTGAATGGCCGTAAAAATAACACGCCAAAAATATGCATTTTCATTTTGCATTTTTGATAGCACGCAAAAAATATGCATTTTCAATATGCATTTTTGATGGCTCCAAGATTTTGCAGAAATATGCATTTTTCCATGGGAAAATGCATATTTTTTTGCTTTTCGGCTGGCTGCAGAAAATGCATATTTCATATTTCGTTGATTTTGTCCAAAAACCAAGGTTTTCATGGAATTATGCATTTTTGATGGCTCCAAGATTTTTCCAGAAATATGGAATTATGCATTTTTGCAGCCAGCCGAAAAGCAAAAAAATATGCATTTTCCCATAGAAAAATGCATATTTCTGAAAAATCTTGGAGCCATCAAAAATGCATAATTCCATGAAAACATTGGTTTTTGGACAAAATCAACGAAATATGAAATATGCATTTTCTGCAGCCAGCCGAAAAGCAAACAAATATGCATTTTCCCATGGAAAAATGCATATTTCTGAAAAATCTTGGAACCATCAAAAATGCATAATTCCATGAAAACCTTAGTTTTTTGACAAAACCAACGAAATATGAAATATTTATTTTCTGCAGCCAGCCGAAAAGCAAAAAAATATGCATTTTCCCATGGAAAAATGCATATTTCTGAAAAAACTTGGAACCATCAAAAATGCATAATTCCATGAAAACCTTGGTTTTTGGACAAAATCAACGAAATATGAAATATGCATTTTCTGCAGCCAGCCGAAAAGCAAAAAACATATGCATTTTCCCATGGAAAATGCATATGTCTGAAAAATCTTGGAGCCATCAAAAATGCATATTGAAAATGCATATTTTTTGCGTGCTATCAAAAACGCATATTGAAAATGCATATTTTTTGCGTGCTATTTTTACGGCCGTTCAAAAATGCATAATGGATCTGGCAGGCCAACTTTCCTGATCTGCACGGTCTCCCCAAAAGCTGTCCTGTGGCGATTTTTCTCTGCTTGCTTTTCTTTGCGCCATTTGAATGTCACTCAACAAGTTTGGCAACAGATCCTAATACCCGCTTTGCAGTCTCAACTTGAGCCAAGTGTTCCATATTCTGGAACACTAAAAGACATGGATCTCCATGGTCTCAGTTCTATCCAGACTTAGGGGGTTTTGACTTGTGGGCAGAGACAACTCAGTATGGCAGGGGCGCAGGATGCGATTGCAAGTATCTAAAGCATCTTCATGTGTCGTTGAACACGTATAGTATATACCATGCTTGAGAGCAAGCAGTCTGGATGCATTATGTTTGTGCAAAAACCGCTTGATCAATTTTGTGACTTGCATGTCGGGGATACTATTATGGCTGCGCAGTTGGCGGGTGTAACTACGGTGGCCCACATGCATCTAGAGTAATCAGCAAAAATTGAACCCCTTGTGGAAAGTTTTGAACATATGCATTTCTGACATTTGCAGCCTGTAAGTATGCATTTTTATTATGCATTTTTGGCTATAGATTTTGCATTTGGCATTCATGGGCTTGTGCCTGGACAACAACTCATAAATCTAGAGACTCTCACATGGCAGGTGGGGAACAAGTGTTTCAGTATGTGTTTGCCAGGGAACACAGGGGATTCTTTTCAGGATTTTCCGCGAAAGTTCGCGAAAGTGTATTTCAGACACACGGATGCCACGAAAGAAAAACGCCGCATCGCGAAAGAGATGGCGAAAGGGAAGACAGAATAGAACACAAATCATCGGGGGTTCGACAACCGCTCAATTATATTAATTATTACATATTTAATTAAATATGTAATTTTATATATACATAGATATACTTTGGATTAAGTTGATGGCTGTTGATCAACTAACTGCCAAGTTTTGTCGATGAGCATGCCTAATATGCTGCACTGGTTGGTCCACATGTTAAGTTTCTGGTTGGACGTGCCAATTAAAAATAATGGGATGTTGCTGGTCAATATGTGTATCATTGATGATGCTGCATGTGTATATATATGTATAGATATGTATATATATATATATATCCCAGATGCCCCAGGTATGGAATATTTATCATTCAATCCCAAAAAACTCACCGTCAAATGTTGGGTATGATGATATTTTCAGCATATCTGTTTCCCAGATCAGCCATGTAGGATCCATCAGCTATAATGTGAGGCCCCCGCTTGCCATAGCTAAGTTGGTTCATAACTCGGTTAACTTTGGTTTATTTACTATAACTTATAACTGGCAGCCGTCACCTTGTAATCTGTATGGGTCACGTTTTTTTCCTTTTCATGGAAATGTTATGTCCAAATATATGTGCATTTAAAACCCTTGGATTCCATGTATATATTTTTATGTATACATACATATACATACATATATATATATATAATATATTCACTATATTCAATATATTTAATATATTTAATATATTTAATATATTTTATATATTTAATATATTTAATATATTTAATATATATATATATAGTTGTTATCACAAATTGTCCAATATGTTTCAAAACAAATTCCATCTTTTGTTTTCAGATCTCCATCTTTCTTTATATGTGTCAGTTTAGTTTTGGGTTCACCAAAAACACCATGGGTTTTCATGGGAAGTTGCCACCGTTAACACGTTTCCCATCGTGCCGGCCCAAGGTGCAGATCATCGACCAACGGCACCTGCCGCATGACTTCGTGGTGGAAGATGTGCGGACCGTGGAGGAGATGTGTGTGGCCATCAAGGACGAATCGAGGGGCGCGGAATGATGGTTTATTTCATGGGAAGTCCTACTAATAGATGGATGATTTGGGTGTACCCCCCATTTTAGGAAACCTTCATATATATATATATATATATGTACATATATATATATATATGTATATGTACATATATATATATGTGTGTATATATATATATATATACATATGGTTGATTGTCGAACTGATTAATTGATCAATTACCCTATCAAGAATGAGATCTTTAAACAAATGGTGGGTTAAGGATTGAAACATAAATTGAAATTAGTTGATTAAACCATCATTTACATGCAGATAGACTGAATAAACACAGGTGAAGGTTTTTGGATGGGTTTATGGTAAATGGTATCGAGCTAGTTTGCTAGTTAACGGGTCTAAACCACCTCATATTATACTGCATATATCTATATATGAACCACCACAAGAACTCCGGCAACAATGCAGGGACGGACACTAGGTTTCAGGAATTGTGCAAACATAAGGTAAGCAAGGAGACCTTCCCATGTTTCGCGATAGCCTGTGTGAAGGTTACGTCATACCTGTGCGCCTTTAAGCGATTTTTCCCAACTTTGCCATACATCATCTGGTTGGTGGTTTCAAACATTTTTTATCTTCCACAATATATGGGATAATCCTTCCCACTGACTAATATGTTTCAAGATGGTTAAAACCACCAACCAGTCATGTTTGTACAAAGCTGTGGTAAGCGCAAGGGACCTTCCTAGACTTGTTGATATCTCGGATTTCTTTCCGTGAACCTTGAGTTTCCGTGATTGTATAGAAATAACTAGGGATAATCCATGATAATCCTATCCCCTGAATATTAAACACACTGATTCTATTGGTCCCACTTTATGGTTTCATCCCCTACCAAAACATGGTTTATGGTTGATGTTTCATATTTCCCAGTTAGCCTAGTTATAAAATGTTATAAACCGACTCAACTATCTTCTTGGGGGGCCCTTCCCGTAGTGCTAGCCCATATTTAGCTATTAAGTTGGTTGAGAACTACTGGTTTATAGCAATATGTAATGGAAATCGGGTAATTGGGTTTATGGTAATTATATGTTTGTTTCAGTTATAACAGTAGATGGAGCACTAAACAAACAAACAAAGATAACTATGGGACACTACCTTGCGGACTCCAACAGTGTAGACTAGTGACAAATACAGAAAACTACTGTAGTTCATGTTTTTGAACATACACATGTATGTTCACAAGTATGTAAGTGTGAATATGTGTACATGATTGTCTATGTATAGCGTGATGTATATTGTCCAATATCCAACATCCGCAATGCACAGCTCGCCAGGTCGCGACTCACTGGGACAAAGACTGGGAGTTAGCCCAGTCAAGGGTTGTCAAATTGCAGTTTATATGATAGCTGGTTGGTGGTTTGGAACATGGCTTTTATGACCAACCAGATTTGCATTTATACCCCCATTGAAAACTGAGATCCTTGCAGACCAGATTTGCATTTATACCCCCATTGAAAACTGAGATCCTTGCAGTAAAGGCCTGCCAGAGATACGAATCCCATTCAACATTTACCCACCATAAAGGACCATAAATCTAACCGAGAGCCTACTTGTAGGTAGAAACCAACTTACCTATCTAGTCCGCCCCCTGATGCAATACTCCTATGTGTTTATTTGGGTAAATTAGACGACCTTCCGGGTTTGTGAACCAGATTCCTGTTAAATCCCATTGGGATCCCATTAAAATCTAGGTTAGCCTAATCACATTAGAATCCCATTGGAATCCCATTAAAAACCCATGTTATTCAGCCTAATCTGGGGTTTGTTCCATGTTTCTTCTCCAGTTCCGCTGGGATAAACCAACATAGATGTGGATCCAGGACATGCACGTGCGAGGAGCTGGGCTCATAGGCCTGTCCTGTCACATTGGAGGAGGGTATGACAATGATCAATGGTATGCTATCTTCACGAAAATGGGATACCCTCTGGTTATGTCAAAATAGCTATTGAAAATGACAATTAATAGTGGATTTTCCCATTAAAAATGGTGATTTTCAATAGCTATGTTAAATTACCAGAGGGTAATAGGATAATAGCATAATAGGATAATAGGATAATGATCATGTTTGACATTGGTATAAATCCTTTTTTCATTGGTATAACAAAGATCCATTTAGCCAATGATAACACTAATAATGGACTATACCAATGTGTTTGTGTAATCATGTGGATTATACCAATGGTATTATAATCATCATAATCCATTGATAATTACATCAATAATAGTTTCAATGGTATAATGATTATACAAACTTGATTTCATTCTTATACCATTCTTATGAAATGGTTTGAATCAGGATTTAAACAATGTTATAATACAACCGTGCTATGCTGTAACACTGGGTAAATTATAGTGACCTCATGTTTGGTAAGGGGTAACTATCCCAATATAGCCTTAATTTAGACTAGTGAATGATTATAGTTTAGCAAAATATTTCTGTCGAGATATTTGGCTATGGGCCAATACCTATAATATAACTGGTTGGTGGTTTGGAACATGGCTTTTATTTTTCCCATCATATTGGGAATAGATTTACCCCCAACTGGCTGTCATATTTTTCAGAGGGGTTGAAACCACCAACCAGGTAATATTAAGGGGACAGACATCCCTTTTCCAGCTATGTCAGTGTTCATCCGGGGTACAGGGGTTTTGACCCATTACCATGAATCATGGGAAAATAGCTGGGACTGGGTCACCAATCATGGTATGACAATGGTGTAATCATAGGGTTTAACCATCAACAGCCTATAAAAACCCATAAAACTGTAATTTCTCTAGTTCTAGTGGATTTCACATTGGGTATTATGGTGTCGATGGTTAAACCCTATGGGAAATAGCTGGGAAATAGCTATTTAACCATGATGATCATAGGGATAAAAGGCAGTTTTTTTTGGTGCCCCTGTTTTTTGTTTGCACAGGGTGTCTTTTTTAATGCCAACATCCAAGAACTATTGATACATATATCGATCTACTTCATGGGGGTTATTTATACTTATACATATACATATATATATATATTATTATATTTTGTAATATATATATATATACATATTATATTATAATATATATATATTTTTTTTAAAGATATATATATATGTATATTATATGGGTAAATTATAACGACCTCACTGCAACCTCACTGGCATAATGGTTAGTAAGGGGAACCAAAGGAGCGCCAGCTAGCGCAGTTGACTGACACGGTTTCTACCGCGTTGAAAAGAACGGACGGACAATATAGTATGGTTGGGTTTCCATAGTCATGGGGATACCGTAATAGCGGGATGGGTTATTTCATGGATAATCCGATTTATAAATGGATGACAAATGGGGTACCCCTATTTTAGGACACCTCCGTCCATATATGAAATTGATTGTCATTGTCTCAATTCTATCAAACGGTAGAATCACACCACAATAGGCTTTCAATGTAATATCAGTCAAATGAGTGCGCCCAGCATCAAGCTGTACAGTTGCGGGTCTCATCTCCGATGCTTGCAAGTATTCCTTGATATTTTCATGACATGGATCAACAAAGCTTCAAAGACAAATTAGCCTCTGGTAATTTAACATTTTGCCATGGCAAATTACACAGAATTACACATAGATCAACTTAGACCTTTTTAGTTTGATGATAACTATTCAAATTGGTATATTGGTGATGTGCAAAAAGCTATGCTTAATTTCCAACGGGTATGGGTTGCAAAGTGCATTTTGTGCACATGTTGACACCGACATCATATAAGTACCATGAAGTATCCACTGCAGCAATGGTTGCTTTGTACACAAGACAAATGGTAGGATGTTCTTAGGAAATGCTGGTGGTTTCAAATGTGAGTGATGTAACTGGTATGATGATCACAACTGACCAACATTGTTTTCAGATGGGCGGCTCAAAGCATGTATTATTGGTATTTATTGGTTATACATCTTTGTATCCCATTCCCCTTTGGGAGGTAAACAGCTTTTGTTTTTTTGCAGATTCCCCCCTGGTTCTCCAGGCTGTGCGGCCGCCTATGGCATGTATTTGGCGGTTGCGGGAACCACCGGAGCGGAATCTGTAGAGGAGGCCCAGTTCTGAACTCTTCAGGTTTACAACCATGCAATAAACCATACAAGAATATAACCAACAGTATTCTGGCTGGGGGTTTCAAGCATTTTGTGTTTTTCAACCAAACTTGTCATGATACTGTGGATGGTTGCGAAATCTTGCACCAGTTGATGGGTGGCTTATCCCATTATCAATAGGCTTGCAACCATCCAAGGTGCTTCAGGATTTCGCAAAAATCCACAGATATGACATGATCTGATATTTTTATATTGGATCTGAGATTATAGGATCTGATATGATATGATTTGATATGCTATGTGATATATGATAAGTGATGAATGATAACTGATATATACATATATATATATATATATATTATGACATGACGTTAAGATATATGAAGTGGGTACCCTCCAGTAATGTAACCTGCCTTGCTGGAAATTGACGACAATTTGTGTGCAATTTGCAGCCAGCCATGTCAATTTGCCAGAGGGTAAAATAGTGAACATAATTATGAACAATATCATATAAATATTGAGTTATTTTGGAAAGATGGTGTGCAGTCAAAGGCGAGTCTTGCACTTGTTTGCCAGGTTTCAGATTGCTTGCATCCGTGCACAGGAAAGCATAGACGACTGTGACTAAACCGACTATATATATATATATATATAGAATGGGCTAGCGCCCTGGTGCCGCCGACCCCCCCAAACGGCACACTTGAACCCCCAAGAAAAGAGTCTGCCGGCACAGGTGGTGGCCACAGCAGCGCGTTTGCAAGCTGTGTGGGGCCGCTGCGCAGTTTTAAGGCAGCCAAACGGCACACTTGAACCCCCAAGAAAAGAGTCTACCGGCACAGGCGGTGGCCACAGCAGCGCGTTTGCAAGCTGTGTGGAGCCGCTGCGCAGCCTTTTAAGCCGGCCAAAAGGCACACTTGAACCCCCAAGAAAAGAGTCTGCCGGCACAGGTGGTGGCCACAGCAGCGCGCCCCAAGAAAAGAGTCTGCCGGCACAGGTGGTGGCCACAGCAGCACGTTTGCAAGCTGTGTGGAGCCGCTGCGCAGCCTTTTAAGCCGGCCAAACGGCACACTTGAACCCCTAAGAAAAGAGTCTGCCGGCACAGGTGGTGGCCACAGCAGCGCGTTTGCAAGCTGTGTGGAGCCGCTGCGCAGCCTTTTAAGGCAGCCAAACGGAACACTTGAACCCCCAAGAAAAGAGTCTGCCGGCAATGTGGGATCGACAATAGTAAAAGGGAGGCCCCCCTATTTTTTTTTAGGGGGGTCTGCTTTGCAATAGTAAATCGAAAACCACAACTCTTCCCCAAGGCTTCTGTAAGGTTTTGACAAAGCCAATGCAATCACAATTAAAGACCATCCAACCACAATTAAACACACTAAGGAAGAAGGGAAAAATACAGCTAGAGCCAGAAAGGTGTTTTTTATTGCAAGTGCTAATTCCAATTTTTTTGATTGCAAATGCAAGGACCTGCAAGGGGGTACCCTTTGTGGACCTGTTTTTTGCAATTTTTAAAACAGATTTTAAGAAAGAAAACAACTTTTTTGAACAAGGTAAAGTTTTGGATTTGGGAAAGGTTTGCTTTGTTTTTGCTTTTGAAAAGCATGCAACCACAGTTTAAAACCATTTAACCACAATTAAACACACTAAGGAAGAAGGGAAAAATACAGCTAGAGCCAGAAAGGTTGTTTTTTTAATTGCAAGTGCTAATTCCATTTTATTTGCAAATGCAAGGACCTGCAAGGGGGTACCCTTTGTGGACCTGTTTTTGCACTTTTTCAATGGATTTTAATAAAGAAAACAGTTTTTTTGAACAAGGTAAAGTTTTGGATTTGGTAAGGTTTGCTTTGTTTTTTGCTTTTGAAAAGCATGCAATCACAATTAAAGACCAGTCAACCACAATTAAACAGAGCTAGAGCCAGAAATGTGTTTTTTAATTGCAAGTGCTAATTCCAATTTTTTAATTGCAAGTGCGAGGGCCTGCAAGGGGGTACCCTTTGTGGACCTGTTTTTTGCAATATTGCAAAGAATTTCAATAAAGAAAACATTTTTTTGAACAATGTAAAATTTTGGATTTGGGAAAGGTTTGCTTTGTTTTTGCTTTTGAAAAGCATGCAATCACAATTAAAAACCATTCGCTAAATAGCAATTAGCCCTTTGACAATTTAGTATTGGAAAATCTGATAATTTAGTGATTTTCTGAAAATTAATTGCAGCTATCGCCAATGCAGCACAATTGTTGCAGATGCTCTGGACCAAGAGTCATGTTCGTAATTTAAAATGAATATGGCTGAAAAATCAGATTTTCAATTTTTTTTTAAGCTATTGCACGCGCTTTACTATTGTCCATCCAACATTACCTGGGCAGTGGATACAAGTTTGGCTGCTCAAAAACTTTTGGATTTGTCGCCCTTGTGTTGCTTTAAAGAGAGGATGGTATTTTTTGTGTTTTTTTGTTTGTCTAAAGGATTTTTTTGTTTTTCAGTCTGTCATACAGAATGCCAGAAAGAATGTCAGAGAAAATGTCAGAAAGTATGTCAGATAGCTTGCCAGAAAACATGTGAGATAGAATGTCGGCGTACTGTATATGCTAGAAAGAATATCAGGAAAACAAAAAGTATATATATATATATATGCCGGATATGCTTCCACATGATATTTCAGAAACTATGTCAGAATAGTGTGTCAGGGTGTGATCACTCGAAGTAAGGCGATTAGTGGTAAATTACTAGATCCACCATTTATGGTGGCTTCGGTCGGGCCCAACTTGACTGGGCCAGGTGAAGGCGCGCTTCGTCTCTGCTGCTGAAAAGTTACTATTGACGCGGCCCACTGCCGTGAATCTGCGCGTAGGTGCCGACCGAAAACGAAAATATGAGCGGGACCCAATTGGATGCGTGGGAAGGTAGGGGAAATCTTTAGAGAATATTCAAATTGAATAGGAAGGGGTTGAAATTGAAATCATACAATCATGGTGTTGAGGTTGAACAATGTCACAGGTGATGTGTTTCTGTGGTCAATGAGTCAATGACTCATGTATGTAGCCACAGATGTAAATCAGTAGCTATGGGTAGGAATGCAGCGATGTCAAATTTTCCATAAATTGAGAATGTTTTGCATTGTGTTTTCCTACGCGACACAGCTTGTGTTTATTTCTATGTACTGAATTATGACATGTTTTTTGGACACAACTTATACATGTGATTGGCATTTTTCTGCTATCTATTTGGTTGCATGTGTTTCTATTGACCAGAATCTATCGCATGTTTGAACATGTTAGGATATGCTAGGATATTACCATAATCCCCTTGGGCAACAAACATTACATTGTCTACTGAACATGACCTTTTAGTAGAATTCCTCGCCCTTGTTGGTGGTTGGAGCTTGTTTGAAAATGGGGTGCCCCCAAATTGACGCAAGCGTGTTCCTTCTTCAAACACATTAAAGTGAACATTTTGAGGTGTATCCCATCTCGATCATTTTTGGACAAACCCACATTCTAGTGGCTGCAATCCATGGATGCGAACTAGGGAGAAAAAAGGCCACAAGAAACTGGTTGTCAGTTGCTCCCTTGTCCCCCTTCTGGATGCAAAGTATCACAGCGACCTCGGCGCAAATGATGATGTCGGAATTCCCATGGTCTTCAGCGTTTTTTTTGGCTTGTGAAATATGCAATCAAGGAAACAACATGACTTGGCAACGATAGGTTCCTGTTCGTTTTGGACTAGAATAGAACTAGGCTAGCTGGGGTTTAATGAATGGAAATATCATATCATATCTATACTGTTTCTATAGCGCGACGGGGTAAAAAAAAACATTGGGGTGGCCCCTTCCTGCATCCCAAAGATCTTAGAGGTTTTGGAATTATTTTCATTCAAGGATGGATTATGAGCCAACCACGCTGTAAATGATGGTTCGTGATAATAATTATATACTGATAATGATTATTATAGTAGTAGGGATAGTAGTAGGGAAGTAGAAGTCGTAGAAGTCGTCGTAGTAGTAGTAGTAGTAGGAGGAGGAGTAGTAGTAGTAGTAGTAGTGGTAGTACTAGTGGTAGTAGTAGTAATACGGCCAAAACCTTAAAACTTAAATCTGACATGAAACCCTAAGTGAGCCTTGAAAGAAAAAAAATACTTTACTTCGTGTGATCCCCACCATGACATTTATACATTTTCTTACTGGCAAATCTTCTGGCATTCTATCTGACATATCTTCTGACATTCTATTTGGCATATCATCTGGCATATCTTCTGGCATATCTATCTGGCATATCTTCTGGCATATCTTCTGGCGTATCTATCTGGCATATCTTCTGGCATATTTTCTGGCATTCTATCTGGCAAATCTTCTGGCATTCTATCTGGCATATCTTCTGGCATATATTCTGACATATCTTCTGGCATTCTATCTGGCATATCATCTGGCATATTTTGTGGCATTCTATCTGGCATATCTTCTGGCATATCTTCTGGCGTATCTATCTGGCATATCTTCTGGCATATTTTCTGGCATTCTATCTGGCAAATCTTCTGGCATGCTATCTGACATTCTATCTGGCATATCTTCTGGCATATTATCTGGCAAATCTTCTGGGATTCTATCTGGCATATTTTGTGGCATTCTATCTGACATTTTATCTGGCATTCTATTTGGCATACCTTCTGGCATTCTATCTGGCATACCTTCTGGTACAGAAGTGGAAATGTCTCAGTCCACCCCAGTGACTCTGTCATCTGTTCAAACTGATTGCTTCAAACTTTGCCACCTGCAAAGTAAGAAGTGGCATTGCCCCGGTCACTCTACCACACACGCGCGAGTTTGCAAGTAATATATAACATACTTGTCTGACATTCTTTCTAACTTTCTTCTGCACATTCTTTGTCCCATATCTTCCTACATGAGGTCCGGCAGGGAACACTTGGCGTGGATACTCGCGGTTGAGGTCCGGCAGGGAACACTGGGCGTGGATGGTCGTGGTTGAGGTCCGGCAGGGAACACTGGGCGGGGATGGTCGTGGTTGAGGTCCGGCAGGGAACACTGGGCGTGGATGGTCGTGGTTGAGGTCCGGCAGGGAACACTGGGCGGGGATGGTCGTGGTTGAGGTCCGGCAGGGAACACTGGGCGTGGATGGTCGTGGTTGAGGTCCGGCAGGGAACACTGGGCGTGGATGGTCGTGGTTGAGGTCCGGCAGGGAGCAGGAGGAGAGGAGACGAGGAGAGGAGACGAGGAGAGGAGAGGAGAAGAGAGGAGAGGAGGAGGAGGAGAAGGAGGACGAGAAGAGGGAGGAGAAGGAGGAGGACGAGGACGAGGAGGACGAGGAGGAAGCAACTGACATAAAATCTAACAACCCTCACCTGGCAGGTGGGGAAATATTAAACCGTTGGTAAAAACCTAACAAACCCTTAAAGAAACCTAAATGAAACCCTAGATTAATTCTAAGCAAACCCTAAACAAACCCCAATCAAACCTTAAACAAACCCTAACGAGTTTGTGACATGGCACCCCTGGCCTGAGGGTAATAATAGTAATGATAAGGCTAGTAGTAGTCATATTACCAATAGTGATAGCAGTAACAATAATAATGATAATAATAGGGCAGTATGTTTAATGGGCGTAAAAATGTTCATAATTAATCTACAGTAGATGGACAAATTAATCAAACCCCAGGCGAATGATCTGTAAATTCCCCCGGGCCCCCTGCCGCCATGTTTTGAAGGCACCAATAACATTGAAATTTGGGGGGTGGGGGTTCAGGGAGTCTACATGAGTTTGAATAATTCGTCCATCTACAGTAGGGGTGTTTCCTAAAACAGTGCTACCCCTGAAATAATCCTTCAAGTTCGCAGATTGTACATGGTCGCCCATGGGTATCTGATTTTGGGTGATGTTTGTCGGGGACTGCTTAGCAAGGTGAATCATCCTCAAAATGGTATAAAATGGATCTCCCCCCGAAAGAAAAGCAACAAATGGTGTGTCCATCATTACCGCTCTTTGTTTTGATTACCTATGCCTATATATACGTACATAAATATATATATATATAATATGTGTGTGTGTTTCCGATTTTCCATCTGAACCCGAAGAATCAAACTTTCTCCGTGCTTTGGGAGGCGTTGAGAAGCTGCAAGACGTGCTGAATGGGGAGCTGTCCAAAGCTGAAGGCCCATTGGTCCTACCATGACTGGGGATGGCGAAAAAAAACACACCCATAAAAATGGCGATTTCAAGCATAAATGGTGATTTACTGGGATTCTCTGTTTGATTTTCTGATGATGTGGGAGACCTTGGCTGCCAGCCTGCCAAGTATGACGATGGTTGAAGACTCGCAGCCATGAAATTTCTTGGGATGGTGCGCCGATGGCGGCTTTACCATGAATTTGGGTGTTTAATTGGGTTTTAATGGGCTTTGAATGGTTTTACCTCATGAAATGAAATGAGTTACCAACAGAAATAATGTAATAATGATTATTCGGGGGTAGAAAGGGATCGAGAAGCAACAACTCGATGATATGGGTCATCCATGGCCAGTTCAAAGAGACAATACGTACGATGAAGCGACGAGGTTCCGAGGAACCAATGTGAGGGAACACGCTCTTCGAGCTACCAAAAACCAGCAGAAATTGGATCATTTTCTAAGGTTTGTCTATATTGGGTTTCATATTGCGTTGGCATGTTTATCAGCTTGGCATTGGTAAAGTAATCACAATTTATTTGAATAGGATTAATAGGATTATCATCTATCTCTCCATCGTTGATTACCAGAGTTTTCTCTATCTCAAAACTGATGAAGAAGTTTTACTTTGGCAGTCAAACCTAGCACAGCAGAACCGCATGATTTCCATTGTTTTCCAATGTTCTGAAGATGTTCCATGTTCGCCATGAACTATGGCTGAGGCCCAGGAATTTATATCCTTCATGCTCAAATCTCTGGGTAAGGCTAGCGTGTTTTGACTTTCCAACACAATAAAACCCTAAAACATCCCTAAAACCCTACATCTTGCAACCTAAAGTCCAACTTGCTGCGTATAGCCAGTGTTTTCCTCAGGTGACACGTATGTATTGTTAGGGTGTATGATTTGGATGTGGGCGAACGTGTGCGAATGTAGGGGTGGGCGCCAACATGTTCTTTGATATCCATTGATATGCCATATTGGGTGTGTCTGACAATGAGGGACGCTCCCAAAACATTACGAGTTTTTTTCTGGGGCATAGGATGATGCAAAGTGAGACTTTTGGGGTATAATATAGGACGGCCACTGATAAAAAAACAACTGAGCACAGTGTACTTCCGGAATCTGCACCGTACCCAAGTTCCCAGATCATCCGCGGTACACTTACCCATACTCAGTAAGGTTTAACATAATAGGTTGCTGCAAAAGTCAGCTTCCCCATTTCCTCCATGATTTACTGTATTATCTTGTTTTATCACTATCTTCGACATCAAATTGCCATAACTGCAAGGGATGTGCCCTCTGGATATCGTAATTTAAGGTAGCGAACTGGAGAATCGCCATTTTCAAGAACCGTAAAGTGGTCGCCCACGTTCCCAGGCACCTTTTCGGCGGACGTGATGGAGGCAGGTCGCCGGCTGAACAACATGGGAATCTTAGCTTCCAAAGTGCTGAAAAACATAGGATATCAATAGGGATATGATCTGGGTAAACAAGCAGTTTGCTATTGAAAATGGCCCATAGGAATCGTTGATTTACCGATTAAAGAAGGTGTTTTTTCCATAGTTATGGGACAGGTATACCAGACGGATATGATCTGGGTAAATCGTATTTTTTTTTTATCACGACTTCACTGTCTTCCAAAGCCTGGAATTTCATGTTTTTTTTAAGTAAGGGGAAGTATCCCAGAGAAGCCAACAAATTCAGGTTTGTGAATTATCCTAATTTACCCAGTATGGGATATTTCATGATGATAATGGGGTTTGATATTTCATGATAAACACCCTCCCGTTTAAACGTGATAATGGCAATGGCTGGAGCTTCGCTGTGAAAATCATCGCGCTGGCAATGGTTGGATTTTCCATCGCCAGAGGGTATTTCAATTGACATAGGGAAGCTGTTTTGAACTTATACTGGTTGGTAAATCAAAGTTATTTGGGGCATTATTTTCCAAACCGATAAGTTATAGAAAAAGTTATTTGGAACATAAAATACATAATTATAATCATTTTTGGAACATTATTTTTATTGTTATTCCATATATTGGGAATAGATTTCCCCCAACTGACGAAGTCATATTTTTCAGAGGGGTAGGCTCAACCACCAACCAGTATATGTTAACTTATGTTATAGCTATGGAACATGTCCCATTTAGTAACCGATGATTTTGACATGGTTTTTCCTATCGAAACCGATGATCATATCCACAGTAAGCTGTCAAATTCCCGGAAAATAACTGTTAAACTGTTAAACTGTTATATAAACAACTAAAATATGTATGATCAAAGGGATTCAGTGGGGGATGTTCATGAATTGTTGGTTAATTCGTGCCTTTAAGGTAAGTCGTTATATAGCTATGGTATGGGTGGCCTGTCCTTTTTGATGATTTACCGCTACTATCCGCTACTAAAAATGCTGATTTTCCATAGCAAAGTATTGCAAACTGTTAGATTACCAGAGGTGAATGGTGTTTTTTGCTGCCATAAACGGGAAATTCACTAAGCAGCTACAGTTTTTTTGGTGCAGGGTATCTGAGACTTCACAGCTAGACATTTACTGATTCCGCATGACGGTCTTAAAAATGGTTTTACTCAGAACATGAAACGCAAACATGGTTGCATCAAGTATCCGTGAGACACATATTATTTGGGACGCTAAATGTTCCCACATCGAAATTCCACATGATCCTGAACACGATTTTTCATGCCACGTGATCTGGGACACATGCGCAGTGAAGCGACCGATGCGGATTACGTACAAACAACACGCTGACCGCCTGCGTGGTTGCGCTGTCAATGGTTTACGATGGGCATTGGCCGACCGAGCAAATGCTAATAATGTTGATACTGTTTGCCCAATGTTTTTTCATTGTGATATCGCAGGGAATCGGCGGAATCGCACCAAAAAACGGGTTTTAATGGCAAGCCTACCTGTATTGCAAAGCACAGTCAGTCCCTAGTTTGGCCCACAGGAACGCCAGAAACGAAAGATTTGGACCAATGGCCAAAGGTGAACGTTCAGGAAACCACGCGTTGCGTATAAATTGCTCGAGCCTCCGCGTCCAAACCGGTTGGTCCACACGGCACGCCAGATGTTGGAATGGTGCTTTCCAAACAAGATTGACATGTTGTTTTTGCGGCTAGGAAGGGGAGACAAAACCACCCAAAGTTTACAGGGCAGCAATGCTGCTCGGGACGAAGGCCATGCTCACGGAAGAGGCACTTCACCAGCCCACAACAGTGAAAAAAAAATCATTGCTGCTTTTGTGGTTGCGAATCGCTGTTTTAGTAGCTGTGACCCTTATCTTGGCTGTTGAACATAACACTTCCTCTATGTACTATGTCCATAGGTACTATGTATGGTAAGAGGGGTACAAACCCATTTTCTTTGCTAAGATCCTTCTTTTATCCTGCGTCCAAGTGAATTTTCCTGGTTTTAGATTTTTCCACATTGATTTCATCTTCAGTCATGAAATGACTGTTTCTGCCCCAAAAAAATGCAAGAATATGTTTTCGCTCTTTGATGGACTAGTTTCATTCCTTTTTTCTTCTTTGGTGTTCTTTCTCTTCCAAGATGTTGGCATTGGAAGGTCAATTTTTTCGGGCATGACATGACCTGGTTTATTTGTTAGATGCGTTTGACTTTGCAAGATGCCCTGTTTACTTTTGATGGCCAGGCCCTTACGTGCGAAATCTCCCATCTACCCCTCGGAACATTGCGCAAATCGTTTGGGCAATGACCAGGGATACAACCACCACATCATGCGGACCAAACCATGTCCGAGAATCTTGCTGCAGTGTTTAGTTTTGCGGTTTTATGGTTGCCCATTTCCGATGAGTAATCATGACCCATGTTTTTCTTCGAAAAACACCAAAAACAACTGTCCTTAGCTGGCGGTGATCCAACATGTTTTTTTGTCCAGGAATGCGGTTCCTACCCAAATTGTCATCACCGTTGCCACGAAGTTTCAATGTTTCATAGATACTACGGTGTTCATAGGTTCCCAATAGTAGTATAACAATGTTGGTGCCAGGATCGGTTTTTGGACAACTCAATGTCTGGATATATATAAATTAAATAGTTTTGTCTTGAAACAAAATATTGCACCCCATTCCGTCCACCGGTTATCACTTAATCGTCATGTTCGTTTTGAAAATGGTCCTTCCGTTGGTCTATCCAATTTTCAAACACACCCATTGGCCCATATATTTGTTGTGTCCAGGATCATCGAGGTGTTTGTCTGCGTTTTCCCACGCGCCCAAAACATATAGCATGTTCTTACATATATGGTTGTTTTTATTTCCCAAAAATATAATTTTAATTATTCACAATGAATGGTTTGTAGTCCCCTTGTTGAAAGCGCATACATGAATTCCCCTTAATTGTTTAGTGAAATCAACCAACTTGCCTTGTGGATCGTTTTCACATACAGTATTTCCTCAAACAAATTGAAATATACAGATTGTTTTCTATTGTTTGTAAGACGATTGGAAAGATTTGTTATAAGTTATTTTAGAAACCTTGTGAAACCTGTTTATTTCAGAACGAATTCACTCTTCTACATTGCGGGTCCCTCTAAATTTGAAAATAACATATTCTACAACTAGTATCTCCAGGGTTTAGGGAAAATAGTTAACTAATAATAACTAATAGATACTTAAACTAATAAAACTGATCTATAGAGGTTTCCTAATTTGGAGGTACCCAAAAAACATAATTTTTTGTGATTACACCATGTCACCATGATAAACCATTGAGCTATTGGGGTACCTCCATGTATGGATCCACCGGCTTTGCCGGGGAGGCCTTAGAAGTTGCTGCCCGGCGGGAAGCTGCTCGCATCACCGACGAGGAGACGCACCCCGGATAAAACCATCAAAGATCTGGGGATAAAAAAAAAAAATATATATACATATGTATATGTCATTATGTATATTCTACATACACATATACACATGTATGTGTATGATTGAGAAAGGACATGTTTAGTTTTTGAAGCATCAACAATATGGGGAAAGGTATATGTACGTTTTTAATGCAATACATGTCTTGTACAAGTGGCTGCCAAGGTAGAACAAAAGTATTGGCGAAAGAGCGTTGGCAAACATGTTTGTCACAGTTCACCTGGCATGCGGGTTGAGCAGCACACATGTGGGTATGAGATTCTTCACTGAGTGGAGTATATAGTATAGCCATATGCATCATTTGGTTCAGTGTTTTTGGGGTTAATTTGATTTACCACATATTGCAAGAGCCGAAAATATGACAGGCAGTTTCAAACCTGGAAAATCTGGAGGAACACATCATCCATACCATACTGGAATCAGAGGTTTTTGTTTTTTCCAGTTGGGTTAGTTTCAAGCCAACCACCAGCCTCAAACAGAACTAGATGTTTAGCCTTTTTAAGGATTATATAGATGGATTTGCCAGTCATATCACTAGAGTCACTAGAAGTTCAACTAACTTAGTAGAAGATCAACAAACTGCGAAGGTATACATGTCCTTTACTTTGCGGTTTTTCATGTTATGTTAGATGGTGAGTTTTCTCCCATTGGGGGTCACAATCCCAGGATGCCGAGTTTTGCCAGCGAATTGGTGAAGCTGGGGCAGAGATTTTGCAAGAGATTTACCAAAGGACAGGGATGCTGTAGAATGGCTATGGAAATTGTCATTTTCTGGTTGGTGGTTTCAAACACTTTTTATTTTCCATTTCATATATGGGATGCCATCCTTCCCATTGACGAACTCATTTTTTTCAGAGGGGTTGGTTGAAACCACCAACCAGATACAATTTGGTTGAGAAAATACATATCGGGGAAAATGAGCAAACTAATGGTCCCCCATTCAATGCTATTAAATACGGGCAAATTGATTACTGGCTTATCAACAACGAAGGGAAAAGAGCTGTGTTAGATGTCCAAAGTAGAAAAGACATTGGGTTTGACTCAGACCATTTCTTGTTAGAGTGTAGGCTTATTGTGACAACGATGTGTGGGAAGGAAGGTAACTCTTTCCAAACTAAACGTTGCTCCAAACCTGACCCTATGAAATGGAAGGCCTACAACGATAAAGTTCGTTCCCTACTAGAAGGCAAGCGATGTGATTTAGACATTTTTACAAAAGCTATTTTGGAGGGAGCAGATGATGCACTTGATAGGGAGCCGAGGGAGAAAAAAAAATATCAAACATGAAACATGGGAAAAAATCCAGGAAAAAAATGAAAAAACGCGGATCGGTGCGACAAAGAAAGATATTGCAGACCTTAATAGAGAAATTGCTCGCATGGCTCGAAGGGACAAGCAAAGTTGTTTGATAGAAGAATTTAACGAAAACCCAAATGACATCAATAAGAGGGGATTATGGAAAGCGGTCAAGGGTTTAAAGAAGAAATTTGTTCCAAACTATGTTAAGATGAAAAACTTAGATGGGAAGCATGTCCCTTTGAACCAAAGAGCTGAAACAATAGCGGACTATCTCGAAAAAAATACATTGGACTAATCCAGTGGAACACACGGTGAACACTGGCAGTATACTTGAAGATAACAATGCTTTAGAAGAATGTTTCACGATGCCAGAACTTTGTACAGCAATTAAAAGGGCGAAACCCAACAAACAACCAGGCCCTGATGGGATAACCATGGAACTGGTTAAGTGGCTTGACAATGCCAGCAGGCACGTTTTACTAGATCTTATTAACACTTGGTGGGAATCCCAAACAGCGCCGTCGGCATTGTTTCAAAAAGGGAGATGCCGATATTGCTGCTAACTATAGACCAATCTCATTGTTAAACAGTTTTTACAAAATATACATGGTTATGATCAGGGCCAGGATGCAGGACGCGACGGAGCAAGTACTTTCAAGGACCCAGTACGGTTTCAGACCTCATAGATCAACTTCGCATGCAATATACATTCTCAGAAGGATTCAGGACTATTCAGAAATTAAGGGGACCCACCTTAGCATTGTTTTACTCGATTGGGAAAAAGCGCTTGATAAAATTCAACATGACAAGCTTATTCTTGCTTTGCGCCGACTGGGCTTCAGCCGTCGCTATACTGAGGTCATTGCGGATTGTTATTCTAAGCCTATGTTTTTCGTCAAAGATAATTTTGGTTCATCTAGTACTAAGCAACAGGCCTCCGGGATTCGTCAAGGATGTCCATTATCCCCATTTCTTTTTGTCTTAGTCATGACCTGCATAGACTTTGATATCCAACAGAGCGTTTCATCGTATGTTACTAACAACCGAATCCCCGGGGTGGACTTTGACATGATTTTTTTACGCAGATGACACAGTGCTTTTCTCAAAAAGCAACAGAGGGTTAAATGAATTGTTACGTCTCACCGAGCACGTGTCCAAAGGATATGGCTTGGGACTCAATAAAGGTAAATGTGTCGCAATCGCCATGAATAATAATGGTTCCATCCATTTTGACGATGGTACCCCTTTAACAAAGGAATTCGAAGCCACATACTTGGGAAATGAAATAAACAAGACGGTCAATATTCAATTCGAGAAATTCAACAAAATGTCGGAAGTGCGACGCACATGGTACAAGCTCGAGCCGTACTGGAAAGCATCCGGGGCGAGTAAAAAATGGAAACTCATTATCTATGACGCCATAATTCGTAGTAAATTGTTGTATGGTTTAGAAACCATTCACTTGACGCAGGCTATGAGCAGAAAATTAGATGCTTTCCAGATGCGCGGCCTACGGAGAATTTTACAACGCAACTCCACTTTTATAGACCGTAGAAATACAAACAAATCATTATTAGAAGAAGCAAGTTCCATCGCTTACCCATCTCGCTGTGACCGCAGAAAAATTATACCGTTCAGTGAGTATCACATGAATAGACGAGTAAAATTGTTTGGACACATATTAAGAAGCAACGGCAACGACCCTATGAGGCAAATTTCTTTTCTACCTGCTTCTGCGCACAGAGTTGAATACGGAACCAAGCGAGTTGGAAAGCCTCGTCAAAATTGGCTGCATCATACCAAAAAGTATGTTTATGAAAACATATTAGGGCATTATGATTATGGTGAGACTCACATGAACGATCAAAGGGTGTATGAAGCAGCCGTAAGCAGACAGTTTTAGCGTTCAGTCTCTTGCTGCGCCAACGCCTCGCAGCTCAATCGTCTAATTCAGTCGATGCGAGGTATGGCTGCAAAAAACAAAAAGATACAATTTGGTTATTTAACATAGCCAGGGAAAATGGCCCATAGAAATAGATGGTTTACCTGGGTTTAGCGTTCTTAAAAATTGTGATTTTCCTTGGCAAACTGTTAGTCATACCACTAAATATGGGATTCCACTTCTTTCGGATTTTGTAGGATTCATCTTTTCCTGATGCCGAGATTTCGATCGGATTCTCTTATTGGACAGTACTGGGATTTGAAAGGTGTCTCACTGTTCGGCAGTTTTGTTGTTTTTTTTTTGAAAAAAAATCTTTAGCAAAGTAAGAAACATGACTTCACATGACGGAAATGAATGGCTTTAGGAACTGAGGATTTTGATATATGTTGATATCCATGAGTTTACTGGAGGGTATACCACGGTAAAACTTGGGTTTTTGTTGAAGAAAAAAACATGATGAACCATGGGGGCACAGGGGGTAGCCTGTGAAATCATGCAAGCCCAGCGGCTAAGGATAGGCCAGCACATTCATCGAATGGTGCTGCCTGACCAACTAGTTGGTTTTAGAACCCCCATTAACTGTGTATGTGTATATATATATATATACACACGCCTTTGAGCACGAAAGTGATTGGATTTATATGATTATTTTACCATTGTTTACTCACTAAGCTACTGTAACTCAATGACTCAATGCACATTTGGGGAGATGTGGAATCACCATTGCACACTGGTGGAACTGGAACTGGGGCACCACCGAACTGCTTGCAGCTGGGCATGGTTCCTTTAAAACCTGGGCCATGGCCATGATGCCATGAAGATCCCAGTTCTACCGTTCTACTTTTCGCTACTTTTCCAAGGTGAATTGACCATAATTAATTGACCAAAAAATCTTCAGAATGGACGATCATTCTAGCTCCGCAATTAGTTGGCCTTCCAAAAGGATGGATTGAAGTTGACTGCCCTGTCCTATTAAAATATCCCATGTTTTGTAAGTTAGATGGCTACTAATCGCCATAAAATCATCATAAAATCACCACTAAGTCCAAATTACATCAAATCACCCTTAAAAAAAATACATTACTTCGTGTGATCCCCACCATGACATTTTATACATTTTCTTACTGGCAAATCTTCTGGCATTCTATCTGACATATCTTCTGGCATTCTATCTGGCATTCTATCTGGCATATCTTCTGGCATATGTTCTGGCATATCTTCTGGCATTCTATCTGGCAAATCTTCTGGCATTCTATCTGGCATATCTTCTGGCATTTGTTCTGGCATATCTTCTGGCGTTCTATCTGGCAAATCTTCTGGCATTCTATCTCGCATATCTTCTGTCATTCTATCTGACATTCTATCTGGCATATCTTCTGACATTTTTTCTGGAATTCTATCTGGCATATCTTCTGACATTCTCTCTGGCATATCTTCTGACATTCTCTCTGGCATATCTTCTGACATTATGTCTGACATTCTTTCTGGCATTCTATCTGGCATATCTTCTGACATTCTATCTGACATCTTTTCTGACATTCTTCCCGTTGAGGTCCGGCAGTGCTGACGATCTGCTGCGAAGTCGCGGTTGAGGTCCGGCAGTGCCCACTGCGATCTGGAAGTCGCGGTTGAGGTCCGGCAGTGCCCACTGCGATCTGGAAGTCGCGGTTGAGGCCCGGCAGTGCCCACTGCGATCTGGAGCTCGCGGTGGAGGTCCGGCAGCGCCCACTGCGACCTGGAGCTCGCGGGAGGTCCGGCTGTGCCCACTGGGATCTGGACTGCGAGGAGGAGGCGGCGGGTGAGGAGGCGGAGGAGGCAGAGGAGGCGGAGGAGGTGGAGGAGGAGGAGGAGAACAGCTCTGATAAAATCTAACAACCCTCACCTGGCAGGTGGGGAATCATAAACTCCCTATTGAATCCGATTAAATCCCATTGAAGCACCATCGAATCGCCATAAATTCCACTTAAATCACCATAAATTCCTATCAATCAAAGTGTCACAGGTATTTGGACTATAGTCTGGCCTTCAACAAGGGTTCTGAAAAACCCACAGGTTTTGACCCCGTTTTGCCACGCAGGAAGAAAACCCGCCAAAGCCCTTCCTCTTGCGTGAATGCAGGGCAGCCCAACCGATTTTCAAATTGCTGATTACCCTCTGGTTAATATTATATAGAATAACTATGGTTAACTATGGTTAGTTGTGGTTTAAATGGAAAATATACAACATGGCTCTATGGTATAAATGGTCCATTTATATACAGATGATTTTAGAGGATTTACCTGCTCAAAATGGTGATTTTCCATGGCTATGTTGAATTACCAGAGGGTGATGGCTGGTTAGGTCAAACATATGTTGTTTCAACCTTAAGTTATTGGATGATGTTTCCAACTGACCAATATGGGAAACGTTCACGTTCACTGGCTGACAAAGGTTTTGATCCTTGCAGACACATGCAGCATTCCGAATTAAAAGGGGGCTAGCATTTTTCCATAAAACAACGATTCCATTGGACATTATAGGCGATTAGATATATATATATATATATTTATTAGATTACCATATTTGATCTATATAACATACTCACATTAGATACTATATATATATATATATATATACATACCATATATTCTTCTGATAGACATATGATAAAACGATTTACCTAACTATCTGGTTAAATAGGATTTACCAATAATCAATGCCTAACAACATAGAAAAAATGTAGTAAAGGTAGAAAAATGGATTCTAACATGTTCAAACATAGTCTAATCATTAATAGATAAAAGACGATACATTACCTAACATCTATCGGCTCATTACTAGGCTAAAAAATAGATTAAGAAATGATTCTAATATGATTCCATCGTTTAATCTATTGGAATGCCGTTTCTAATATCCATCAGATGATTAATCTATCAATGGCCAGTTAAGACCAACATCAGATGATTTTAGAAACTTCTATCGTTTTTAGGGATTGCTATACCATGCACCAGATCTGTTTGACACAGGTCCTCACGCACTGCAACGCTGGCTGGTTAGCCTTCGCTGATTGGGGTGCCCTGGAACGGAGATGGTGATGCTTGGGAGGATGCTGTTGTGGGTATAGTAAACCCACCCGAAAGGTATCAAAAAGTTATGGTTTATGAAAATGAGGGGATCAACCTGATGAAAAATTGCAGGATTTTTTTCATAGGTAATTATATTATGAACAGATGGATCATATAGTATATAAGCTTTAAAACGATGCCAAAACGCCTCAATTTATATTTATTTAAGTACTTATATGCTACTTTTCCGATCCTTTTATCAGGAAGTCACTGACCCCGCGTTATTTGGGAAGCTATGATAAGGGATGGATTCAAAACTATAGTCTATAGTATCTATATTGACAGCTGATAGTTATAGTACTACAGTGGATGGTAAATGGATGATAATGGAGGGTGAAAATCAAGAGTTAGTTAGTTACCGTTACCATTATGTATCAGCTATTTTGGGTGAAGAGAAGGGTACCAGAGTTTCGAGCCATACCCATTTGATTTGATCCTGACCTTAGTTACCAAACACTTGGCGGATGATACAAGTTGCGGCATGCTTAAACTGTAAAACCCTCAGAAACACCCCGGTGTCCATAGTGTTTCCCAATTTTTGGCAGGCCAGGGATCGGGTTTTGTGATGCTTTATCAAAGGAGGTTGGGAAGCAATCTTCCGAGTTACGGATGACTTTTACCTGATGAAGGGTGGTGTGAGACTTTACATCTGATGACTTTTACCTGATGAAGGGTGGTGTGAGACTTTACATCTGATGACTTTTATCTGATGAAGGGTGGTGTGAAGACCTTACATCTGATGACTTTTACCTGGTGAAGGGTGGTGTGAGACTTTACAGTACATCTGATGACTTTTACCTGATGAAGGGTGGTGTGACACTTTACATCAGATGCAGACTGGGCTGGCAACCGAGTTCACAGGAAATCTACATCTTGTGGCATTCACTTCTTGAATGGCAGTTTTCTCTATGGAAGTTCAAGGACGCAGAAGGTGATAGCTTTACCATCATGTGAGTCAGAGCTCCATAGCATTGTCTCTTCGATGTCAGATGCTATCTTCGCACTTTTTGCTTGAAACTGCAGTTCTACAAAGTAGTACTGGTGAGAGCTTTATAATACACAGTAGTACGGCTCACTGTTCGCAAGCTTTTGTAGTGCAAAGTAGTACTGGGAAGTGCTTTGTGCAAGCTTTGTAGTACAAAATAGTACTGGGAAGTGTTTTGTGCAAGCTGTGTAGTGCAAAGTAGCACTGGGAAGTATTTTGTGCAAGCTTTGTAGTACAAAGTAGTACTGGGACGTGCTTTGTGCACGCTTTGTACTACAAAGTAGTACTGGGAAGTACTCTGTGCAAGCTTTGTAGTACAAAGTAGTGCTTGGGAAGTGCTTTGTGCAAGCTTTGTGGTACAAGTAGTAGTACTGGGAAATGCTTTGCGGAAGCTTTGCAGTACAAAGTACAGTATTTTGTAAAGGCTTTTCTGTGTAAATGCATCTGTGTCTCAAGGTTTTGTGTGCAAAAGCTTTCTGTGCCCAATGGTTTTTTTGTGCAAGAGACTTCTCTCTGACAGTAAGAGCTTTCTGGCGTGCAGAACAGCTGAGATGAGTCGAGAAGAATTTAGAGGAGATAAGAAAGGTTGATCAGTGCTCGGATGAGATGAAAACAGTTGAGAGTTGAGAAGAACTTACTTAGATGACATGTGAGAAGAGATGGGATGAGATGAGAAGAGCTGAGATGAGGTGAGAAGAGCTCACATGATTTGAGATGAGATGAAGTGCAAGTGTGAAGTGTAAAGTGCGGGGTGTGAAGCGTGCAGTATGAAGTGTGAAGAAAGTGTTCACTTGGAGTTGCATTGCACCGGGGTCCTGCGCAGGTCATGTTCTTGGACAACAACCGTGCAACAGGTTCGCACAAAGCACGCACGCACGGGCCTGGCTGGCGCATGCAAGTTCTATATAGATGAGGAAGGTCTTATATAGTATAACCCTAAGGCAACTTCCGCCCCGCCTCTTGCGGGTACTACTGGTACTTAACTTCAGTCGTCCAAATTTCAAATGGGTTCACATAATTTATTAACTCTGGCTACACAGACCATCTGTCACTTCAATTGGAGAGCTTGTTGCAACCAGCTGTAGCCGGCAATTGATCAAATTGCTTTACGAATCTGTTGTTGGATGCCCTGCACTGCAACCCTTGTGCGTAAAGGATCAATATGGGGAAATCATATTTTATATGTATATAAATATATATAGAGTATATTGTATATTTGTATAATATTAATATATTATATTATCATGATATTTCTAGGTTACTAAGAATTTGAGACTGTGGCAAACCATGGCCTCATGTCCAAGAGGAATCATGGTGGTCCCATCTCCCCAGTGGCTTGGTCTCCTCAGGTTCAGCCCTGTCGCCGGTCTTTCGGCTCTTTCGGCCTCCGGGGATGGTCCTGGGGTGAACGAATCATGTTTGATGACCAATAGATATATATATATATATATATCTGATAATCATTAACCATATAATAATCAGTGATCCATATAACCATTATCCATATACAACATATTTAAATATTTCCATTCCATATACCCTGTGGTTATTTGACATAGCTATGGAAAATGTTTCATTCACAGACGATTTTCCCAGCTAGAAACCTCCATCTATTTCATGGATTTTCCATAGCTATGTTAAATAACCAGATGGTAGATGGCAATTGCTCTAGTCATCCCAAAGATGGAAACGTAAATTTCCCCATTAGAATAGTATGATATAGTGAAGATTCACTATCCGTTTGATTTTTTTTGAGGGATGAATTACTATAGCGATGGTGAATTGTATCCGATTCTTAATTGTTGGTGATAGCTTCGGCTTTGGGAGTTGCGTGTCTTTTGGGGGTCTGACTGAGGAGAATGGGCAGTGAATCAACCGAAATCCTTCTTGGGTATGTTCAATCTTTTGGGGCCAACTGCACTCAGCATCTTGAGCATCAGTGCGTGGAGTAATAACTCTGGAACATGCTGGAACCCCAAAAGAGCACATCCCACCCCACAGTTCAGTCTCAGCACCCACAAATTGTACCTGTGGACCAGACATGCTGCCGGGCAAAAGGGCATATAACGGCGACCTATTGACAGACATGTTGGCAAGCACTTGGCTCCGGGTGGGCCATAATTTTGGCCATCCAAATCGATGATGTGGAAACTCACCAAAATGTGTGTCTCTGGTGTGTTTCGCGTACTTATCCACAAAAGATCGTTATCGTTCATTTATGTCTATACAAACTAATATCATCATTAATAGTGTAAAACTTTTAACAAACATAAAAACCATGTATCATGATATTCTTTCATATATAGGAGGTACAACTCTATTAAAAACGCCATGGACGGTTTGCGTTAGAAAAACGCCTCCTTCAGCCCCCTGCCTCGAGGTGTATGCCGCCTTCAATCAAGGGCTGCCCATCCACGTTTGGGCCTGGGAGTCTCAGAGTAGAGTGAAATCACGCTGCGGTGCCAAAGGTTACCAGTGAAGTTGGTAAACATAACTCCAATCACTAGGGTTATTATAGTGGGTTATAGTGTTGTTTTTTTTGTAGATATATCCAACTACTCATATGATGGGTTTTCTAGACCGAGGTAGTCCTGGGACCACCGTACTGTATGTGGGAACCCCTTTTTTCATGAACAGATCCACTACTTTCTACCAGGGTTTATTTGAGGCCTGTTGGTCATTACCCTCTGGTAATTTAACATAGCTATGGAAAATCAACATTTTTAATGGGAAAATCCACTATAAATGGTCATTTTCAATAGCTATGTTAGTTTACCAGAGGGTAACTATGAGGGGAACGGGATTACCGGGATGATCAATTGATTCCAAGTGTTGTATGAGCGGAAAAACATCACATGTGTTTCAAAATATCTGTGACCATATTGTGACTGTGTCTGAATATAGATACCCCTAAATCCACTGGTTGAGCTCGTATCTCCTATTATATTAAGCTTACAAGTATTACACGTTCATTTTTAGACACTGCCCTATTCATTGTCCCATTTCACAACCACATTAAGATGTTGCTGGACTGACAAATAAATGAATATCTTGGTGTTCAAACCCAACATGGTCAAACACAACACAACCATTTCTTTGTCGGGACCCATCATACACCCATGTTCAAAGCATCATTACCACCACCCAACCACAATAAAACCACCATTAAGAAAAAAAACACATCATCAATCCCTTCCCATACTGAAAACAACATCAGAAACCATGGTAAACAGTATATGTACAGGGGATTTGCACATATTGGGACCCATTTAGGTTGTTTTCAATATGAGGGGAACAAGATTATCCCCAGCTTTATGAGTAATAAGTCCCATTAACTGTAGAGATGAGATATCTACTATAGACCCTATAGTTGTATCAGTTCTTCCTATCCGCAAAAAAAACAACCATTACATTGAGTCAATGAATAATCGTCAGCTATCAATGGAAAACCGGTCATATTTAGCGGAAAACTTCAAAAACATGGTTTCTGGTGAACATCGTCCCTTAAATATCCCAACTTCATCGCTGGAGACGGTTGAAAACTATGATTTTACCATGTAAAAGTATCCCATCATGTTCCCAGAAAATTCGAAAAATGATGGGATAAACCCATATTTTCTGGAAAAATCTTGGAACAATCTGGCAAAACTATGGTTTTACTATGTCACTATGTTTTTCCCAGATTTTTCCAAGATTTTCCCATGATTCCCCCATCATAAGCCCATTAAAACAGCCGAGGTGGACGAGACAAGGCCCAGGAATCAGGGCGCCTCACTGACAGCCTGGGAGCTGGTGCCTTGGGCTGGGGGAAGCCTTGGGAAAATGGAAACATTCCAATGCTTCAGCCAAAAAAAATGGTGAAGATCGAAACGTTGGGAAGATGTTGGGTAAATTCTGGTGAACACTTGAAGATCTATGGAAAATCCTGCAAAATTTGAGGTGAACATGGGAATTTCCAGTGGAATTGAATGTAGATTGTTTGGTATTTTCAGGGGATTTCATTGGTGATTTTGATTGTGCTGATTTGGAAATCTAAAAGATCCACAGAGAAAAGTAAGTGTGTGTGTGTGTGGAAATATAAGGGTTACCGTCTCAATGGTACACCCCTACAGCCTACTTTGGTTTAAGAAGACATGCAATGTGATGTCCAAAAAATCAAGACTAGAAGTTGGTTTATGTGCGCCCATCTAAATATGTACCCTCTGGTAAATTAACATAGACCCTGGCAGATAGGGGTTGGAAAATGAGTTCCCATTAAAACTAGGCTATTTTCAGGGTCTATGTTAATTTACCAGAGGGTATCCACGACAAACATCCATACACTCAACAGTTAGGCGGCACCTCATAAACCGACTCGGCTGACTGTGGGGCACAATTTTGCGGTACTCGTATTATTTGTTTTTAAACCCCCTATTGTTCATAGGTAAAGACCTACTATTGATTGCTAAACATGCCCAAAAAATGGCTGGTTAGCTCCCAGTTTCTTGGTGGGAATATCAGCTACAGATCAGATAGGTACAGTAAATCAACATACATCTAATATAGTCTAATCAACTGTAACTCAGCATTTTGTTGCTTGCTAAACCCCAGTTTTTGATGGTACATAAACTTCTCAAACTTACCCTCTTGTAACAAACATTGCAATGTCAGATCCCGCGAATTTACTTGACGATGATTTTCCCGTAACAGGCCATCTATAAAGGGGATGTCCCATTAAAACATCAATTAGTGAATTAGTGGATGATTTCCCCGTACTTTCATATTATGATTTTCCCAGCAACTTCCATTTTGTCTGGGGGATTTCCCATGAAATCCCATAGAATCTCCATTTTTTTCAGCACTTTCCCAGCATTTTCCCAGCGTAGCATGTTGGATCCGGTCAGGCCAAGCATGGAGTGAAGCACAGCGTCATCGCCGATAACGCTGGTGGTCACCTCATGAGGTGTGCAGGATCGATTCACAGATTGGTAGGCGAAGATATTCAGGAAAGTCGTTTTCTGGTTGGTGGTTAATAGTGGTTAATAGTGGTTAATAATGGTTAATAGTGGTTAATAATGGTTAATGAGATATCTGGTTGGTGGTTTCAAACATGTTTTATTTTCCATTTCATATATGGGATAATCCTTCCCATTGACTAATATTTTTCAAGATGGTTGAAACCACCAACCAGTTTTTTTTAACCCCATATGCATCATGTATGGTATATTTACCTAAAACCTACAAAACTGGGTGATTTTAGGGCAAATGTTGGTTTGCATATTCCATGGAGCATTTGGGTACCTTTAGATATGGGGTTTCATGCATTTTTAACTACCAATTCTGGGATGATTTGAAGAGGATGCTCCCAGTGAAGTTGTTTCTTTTTGAGCCATGGAGTCTACGGCAACAATATCACCAATGGGAGATTTTGACCAAGAAGTCCGGGATTTTGGAATCCTTTCCACATTCTTCAGCTGGTTAATCCTATACACAAGGGCAATGCGATGCGGCTGCCATTTAGCTAATCCAAGATCGTTCACACTCACTCGATTTCTTGTCGATCCCAATTTATTCGCAATCTTTTGCTGGTGAAGTTACTACCTTGATCGCGAAATCATTGTTAAGTCCCGAGGCCATCCTTGGCCATCCTTATCCATCCATCCTTATCCCCCATTCTGATGCCCTGTTTGACCACTACGCCTTTCGCTTGTATTCCGTATTTTTCTTGATAAATCCCAGTATATCAATATTTAGTTTGTTAAAATCATGGTTCGTCCCAATTAAATCCTATATAATGTTTGTTGGTTTATTCCCATTGAATCGCGATGTTTCTTGGATAAATCCCATTCAATCATCATGGTATATCATCGAATCCCCATTAATTCCCATTAATTTCCCATTAAATCCCATTATGTAAATTCCCATGACATCGTCGATTTCTGTTGGTTAACTTTTTTTTTGTGTAGCAAAAAAAAACATCCGTGCGCCAGGACGGGCATGGTCGACATGGTCATCACCGGGGCAGACCGGGTGACACGCAACGGGGATGCGTGCAACAAGATTGGCACATACCTCAAGGCCTGACATGGGCACATACCTCATTAATAATGGTTATATTTATAGAAGCCTTATCTCAGGTGAGTGAAATATGTAGTTTACCCAGTGCCAGATGGTTTATTTAATGGAAAATCCCTACAAAAATGGATCCCCATCTCAGGAAACCTCCATATTGGGAGATGGTGCTCTTAATACCTTTTGCATCCTATAGCATCCATAAGCATCTCAGATATTGGGAGATGCTTATGGATCAATATACCTATAACTTACAGATGCCTAGAATCCTATATAAGCTACATATAGCTACATGATTATATAGATATATAAAGACCAGGACCAGTTTTATACATAGTTTGTGAACCTCAGAAAGATGGTTGTATACGGGGCCTTCAGAACCTATGTTGATCGTAAGCAGGTTGTGGTGAACCTGATGAAACACGGCAAAAATCTGGGGAATTCCTGATGGGTTGCTTATACAACATGGTCAATAAGGGAAATCATTCCCAAATGGCCTTAATTCAGCTTAGTGAATTATTATAATTTACCCAGATATGTTTTAATATCATTTTTAATATCTGTAATTATCTGTAGTTTTGTTGGGCTTGGTGAACGAATAAAAAAAACCACCCGGGTTTAGTAGTCCCTTGTCTTGACGTTGAAAACCTGTTTGTTTTGAAGCCGAAGAGCCATGTGGCGCATTTTGTCCATGAGTAATGTCAAAACTTAAGCAGCAGCGGTGGGTCTCTAAGCCAGCCAAAGTATAGGAATATAAACAACACATGTGGACCACCCGAGAACACTTGAGATCTTGGCAGTTCACATAGAGACGGAAATAGGGGTGACCTGCTTCCTACGGGAGTCATCCCCAAAGATGGCGCATGACTTGTGGATGGCGTATTATTTGAACACTTCCACAGTCCACCAGTCGATCCGGAACCCGGCCGCTGACTTTGTCCTGCCTGATTTATGCTAGTTCTATCTCTTTCACATTACCAATTTGGGGATGGGTCAAAACCCTGGTACCTAGTGAACCCCAAAATAGCTGGTAAATGGATGTTCATCCCACTAAAAATGTATCTATAGGTATTGACCCATACCCATTTTGATGAAAGAAGGTCCTCCTAAGCTCTTGATACGCCTTGTTACTATTGTTCCACTACTTAAATTACCAACGTCGACCATGAAAACTTCCAGCTTCCAACTCGCCAGGCTTTGGCGGCCAAGGATAATGACGTTCCGTTGGGGGCCCCACTTGAGATATTTGAATCAGCTTCTGGTTGAATCCCCCAAGAGCGATCAGTTTGACGATGTTTGACTGACCTCCAAGTTAATACCCTCTGGTTATGACTAACAGTTCGCCATGGAAGCCATGGCCCTAATCGAAATAGATGGTTTACCGTTCTTAAAAATGGGTGGATCTTTCCATGGCTATGTTAAATAACCAGGTGGTAGTTATTATGGTATTGGCTGCTTGACGACTGGGATGGGGATGTACATCCAAGTACAAGTTACCTTCCCACGCCCATCAGATTACAGATCCACCTGTTCGTTGAGCTACTTATAAACCAACTTGGCGAACTATGGGGCGCCACATTGTAGCTATGAGTTTTGAGCGCAGGCTCGACGCTAGCAATTGGGACAACATACTGTACCCAACTGGGAATACTCGGCAACCAACACCGTTAGCGATCAATTGGTTAAAATACCTCCAATGACTGTTATGTTTATAGATGTTTATACCCATAATTAGTTACGTTATACCATAGTTATACCCACCTAACTATGGGTGTAACATCCCACCTAACTATGTTTATACCCACCTCTATGGTATGTTATAACATGTTACACCCATAGTTAGGTGGGATGTTCAGGAACCGAGCCGTATCCCATTCGCAACATTCCCAAACCTTCAGAAGTGAGACAGGTAACCAGACACATTTTCACCAAGATTTGGTGATTGGGAACGTGACCAAAGGCATCGGAAGCCTTTGAATAAGATTTGTTTGAACAAAAACGCGATCAGTTGGTGAACAACCCTTCCACTTCCCTACTATAAGCACTAGTTGCTATCTAGTTGCTATGGTTCCTCGATGGTTTCCCGCGGATTGATCGACACCGGGACGGTGAGTTTAGCTAAGTTGGTGGAAATCACTGCAAATATCTGTTGAGTTTACAGAATACCCTCTGGTTATGACTAACATAGCCATGATATAGATGGCCCATAGAAATAGATGGTTTACCTATTAAAAATGGGTGGATCTTTCCATGGCGAGCTGTTAGTCATAACCAGATGGTAATTGTTGGGTTCATGGTATTTGCTATAACCAGTAGGAATAGTAACTAGAATGTGAGTTGCTAAGTTGGGTTTATAGTAGCTGCAACTCTAGCTGGATGGGATTATAACCCAACAAACATACTTGGGGGGTTTGCGGGCACGTTGTAAAATACTGTTGGCAGAATTTCCCAAGTGGTGCACCCAAAGCCAGAAGCCATCCCAAATGGCTGTATCACATTGTATGATGTTGTTGTTGCTGATGAGATTCAGCGAAATTCTCATGAAATGGTTGTTTTGTTCATATGCTTTGGTTATGCCTGAATTGTTGAGGTCTAAATCCCTATGTCCCATTTCTATGTCTTGACTCCCTAAGTGTTGGCTAGGTCACTAGTTCCATCTATTTCCTGTAACGTGCTTTGCCGTGGAAAATCACCAAGTTCGGTACATCATCGAACTAAATAGTCAGATGTATCTATATGTTAGATTACTTTAAAGGGTAGTTTAAAGGGTAGTTCCCCTGAATATTACCATCATTTATGTTTTCCGGATCCTGTAGTTCCTCAGCATCAAATCTGAAATCTTGGGATTTCAGGTTTTACGTGGCCCTTCCTTCCAGCACCATCGACTGGCGGATGACGGATGGAGCAAGGGCTGCCCAGTTGAGGCTCTGCGGCAAGAACAATGGGAATAAGATGGGAGTCAATAGGATACCGTGGGAATGGGAATACATAATATATATATATATATATGCAGTATATTTATAAATATATAATATATATGTGTGTGGAAATCTGCTTGAAATCAAAGATATCTACATCGGGTATACTTAAAAATCTTAAAATGAATAAAAGTCAAGACTGAAATCTTTGGTTTAGGGCTAAATGTGAACCTCATTGAGATGCTAATGGACCCATGTGTCTGAAGAATGTCTCCTAACGGACTCATATTGTACCAATCAATGGAACCACATGATGTGTCATGTGTATTCTGGGACCATCGCCAAAGCCATCTATATTTTGATGATAAGACCACCACCAGCGACCAAAGGAGTGGAGACCAAAAGTGCAGCTTTTCACGGCTCTTTTTCAGCTGTGCTCCATGTATAGTAACCACCAAGATGATAGGAAAGTAATTATAGTGTGTCCTTATTTGTAGGATTTGCTGTTATATTTTTTGGGGATCGGCATAGTTTCCAATGATTAAGTCACTTTTGGGCTCAATGCTAAGAAATTACTTTACTTCGAGTTATCCCCACCATGACATCTATACGTTTTGTTACTGGCAAATCTTCTGGCATTCTATCTGACATATCTTATGGCATTTTATCTGGCATATCTTCTGGCATTCTATCTGGCATACCTTCTGGCATTCCAACTGGCATATCTTCTGCAATATGTTCTGGCATATCTTCTGGCATTCTATCTGGCATATCTGATCATATCTGCTGCATATCTTCTGACATTCTATCTGGCAAATCTTCTGGCATATGTTCTGGCAAACATTCTGGCACTTTATCTGGCATACCTTCTGGCATTCTACCTGACATTCTATCTGGCATACCTTCTGGCATTCTATCTGGCATATCTTCTGGCATTTTATCTGGCATATCTTCTGGCATTCTATCTGGCATATCTTCTGGCATTCTACCTGGCATATCTTCTGGCATATGTTCTGGCATATCTTCTGGCACTCTATCTGGCATATCTCCTGGCATATCTTCTGGCATTCTATCTGGCATTCTATCTGGCAAATCTTCTGGCGTTCTATCTGGCAAACATTCTGGCACTTTATCTGGCATACCTTCTGGCATTCTATCTGACATTCTATATGGCATACCTTCTGGCATTCTATCTGGCATATCTTCTGGCATTCTATCTGGCAAACATTCTGGCACTTTATCTATTATATCATCTGGCATTCTTTCTGACATTCTATCTGGCGTTCTATCTGGCATATCTTCTGGCATTCTATTTGGCCGTTGAGGTCCAGCGGTGCTCACTGAGCTCGGAGGGTCCCAGGTTGAGGTCCAGCGGTGCTCACTGAGCTCGGAAGGTCCCAGGTTGAGGTCCAGCAGTGCTCACTGAGCTCGGAAGGTCCCAGGTTGAGGTCCAGCGGTGCTCACTGAGCTCGGAAGGTCCCAGGTTGAGGTCCAGCAGTGGCCACTGCGTGCGGAAGTTGGCGAAGAGCTTGGCGAAGAGTTGGCAAGGCGGAAGTAGACATGGAAGTGGATGCAAAGGTGGTGGAGGAGAAGCTGGAGGAGAGGGAGGAGGAGGAGAAGGAGGTGGAGGAGGAGGAGGAGGAGCTGGAGGAGGAGAACAACTGTGATAAAATCTAACAACCCTCACCTGGCAGGTGGGGGAATTAATATTAAATTAATAAATAGTCCATTACAGAAGCGATACTTGGAGCACGTGGCAGTATTGCGAGGGATTTCTTGAAGAGATGCTTCGAGTGACTGTAGCTCTGACCAGTGGTCGTTCTGCCAACATTTCAATTCCGCAGTCCTCCAAAGTAGGGGACTTGAGGCTCTTGGCGCAGCAGTCTTTGGGACAAGGCTTCCTCAAGTTGGTGAGCTCACAGGGATGCATCTTAGCGGATCCGGAAGCAGTTGAGGCTGCAGGGCTTCAAGATGGTGACCAGCTCACAGCAATTGCCAGAAAGGCACATTTGGCGGCAAGTGGTCAAGCTTTTGCCCTTTGGTGCTGTGGCAGCGATGGAGTTGTCACGTGGGGTGATCCAAACGATGGTGGTGATAGCTCCGCAGTTCAAGAACAGCTGAGGAAGGTGCAGCAGGTTCAGGCAACAGATAATGCATTCGCTGCTATCCTGGAAGATGGCTCTGTTGTTACATGGGGCGATTCAGATTACGGTGGTGATAGCTCCGCAATCCAACACCAGCTGAGGAATGTGCAGCAGGTTCAGGCCACAGGTAAGGCATTTGCTGCTATCCTGGAAGGTGGCTCCGTTGTTACATGGGGCTCCCCAGATGATGGTGGTGATAGCTTCACAGTCCAAAAGCGCTTGAAGAATGTGCAGCAGGTTCGGGCCACAGGTTGGGCATTTGCTGCTATTCTGGAAGATGGCTCAGTCATTGCCTGGGGCCATCGAGATTGTGGTGGTAATAACTCCGCAGTAAAAAGTAAGCTGAGGAATGTGCAGCAGGTGCAGGCAACAAATGGTGCATTCGCTGCTATCCTGGAAGATGGCTCGGTCGTTACATGGGGACTTCCAGATTGTGGTGGTGATAGCTCCGCAGTCCAACACCAGCTGATGAATGCGCGGCAGGTTTGGGCCACAGGTGTTGCATTTTCTGCTATCCTGGAAAATGGTTCGGTCGTCACATGGGGTGATCCCAATGATGGTGGTGATAGCTCCGCAGTCCAACATCAGCTGATGAATGTGCGGCAGGTTTGGGCCACAGGTGTTGCATTTGCTGCTATCCTGGAAGATGGCTCTGTTGTTACATGGGGCGATTCAGATTACGGTGGTGATAGCTCCGCAATCCAACACCAGCTGAGGAATGTGCAGCAGGTTCAGGCCACAGGTAAGGCATTTGCTGCTATCCTGGAAGGTGGCTCTGTTGTTACATGTGGCTACCCAGATGATGGTGGTGATAGCTTCACAGTCCAAAAGCGCTTGAGGAATGTGCAGCAGGTTCGGGCCACAGGTTGGGCATTTGCTGCTATTCTGGAAGATGGCTCTGTGGTGACATGGGGCAACCCAAAAGCTGGCGGTAACAGCGCCGCAGTCCAGAATGAGCTGCAAGAGATGTAATTAGTTCCACAGTGTCCAGTGCCTTGGTGCAGACTGAGATGTCAAAATGTGGGTTCATGGAGATTTAAGCAAGAAGAACGGTGGTATTTCGTGGGATGTAGTGGGAACACATTTGGAAACATCACTTGGGAGAAATCTGAGGTACAGTATCTACAATAGGGTATACATCCGTATACTTACAATGAAGAGAAAGTAAAGACTTATACAGATCTTAGGTTTGGGGCTCGGCTCAATGTTAATCTTATTGAGATACCAATCGACCCACATGTCTCTCTTTGGTGATGTTTACAGATTTTGATCTTAACGAACTCATTTCATTACCTCTACAGGCAGGGCCCCCCAGTTGTAGGTTGGTGAAACCGGCCCATTTAATGATCGATGAACTCCCATAAATCCTGATTCAAGTGAGAAACCAACTTGCCAATATATTCTATGTATGCTATATTTACCTACATTTGGATCATGTTTTTGGAAAAATCGTGGTAAATCTTCCATACATCCGCATTACCTAGTATATAAATCACATTAAATCACTATAAATATCGTCAACTACAACTCCATGTTGCTTATTCCACATTTTAACCCATCCCCTGATGGTAAAACCACCACTGAGAATCCGAACATGACGGAGTTTGGCACGATTTTTGGCACGATGTTGCGGTTATTTTTATGGAGGGCTTGCAGTTTCCAATGATTGGGTCACTGTTTGGGCTCAGAGATTCTTGGAGGTGCCATGGCTGCCCCAGCTGAGGCCGAAATCCCCATCGAACAGCGAGGGGATGAGGAAGTGAAATATGCGGAGGCGAGGAAACAAGCCAGGCTTCTGGATGGATCGGAATGGGATTTGCCATACACAACTCGACTTTCGGTGAGTTTTTGGGACTAGATAGGTTTTATATGAACCAGAGAAGATAGACGGTTGGCCAGTGGATCAACAAATTAAATCACTATAATCCGACCCAGGCCTATCTTTTCCCGATATCAAAACTATCAAAACTCAAGTATAGGCCTTGCATGCAGGGTTGGAACAACGGAACAATGCTTAACATATTTACACACATGTAGCAGAGCTTGCCATCCATTCACAAAGGATCCTACGACTTAGAGGGGCCCTGGACCTGGAGTTAGTTAAGTAGTCAGTTACGTAGTAAATGGAATATACGTGGGATATAGTGGATTGTAATCCAGTTACTAAATAATTGGCTAATGCCATGGTTCATCCAAGTCTACATAGACCCTCTAAGTACCCATAAAAATCAGCAGTTTACCACAGTTACCCCATTCTATGATATTCTATGTACGTTTTTCATTTTTTCTCCATCATTATAGCTACTTGGAGGGTCTAGGTCTAGGTAGATGTTTGATGCATTTGTGTGTACAAGGTGCTTTTCACCCCCAATTATGTGGAAATCCTCCTATATCCTATGTTTGTTTGCTTACATATACTTAAATCATTTTAAATCATGTCAAATAATGTTTCCTCGCAAAATCCAAATGTTTGGATGAGTCAAGAATTGGTACCCTCTGGTAATAATGTTCAATGATGTTAAAGCCCTCTATGGTTTTTGTGCTAAAAAACACTGACCACATGGCACCACCCAACGGGACCCTGGTCCCGTTCTGTCCGCTGTAGAAATCATCCGGGAAATCATCCGGGTAAATGAGGACCGATATAGGGATGATATAGGGATATATAGGGATATGATAAAATATGATAAAACCACAGTTTTTTTTGTTTTTTTTCGGTGTGTCCTTCACATGGTTTAGACACACCAAAAATGGATCAACAATTGGAGTCCTTGGACCCTTCCGATTGTACGATAGTCCGGTGTATCCAGCGCTGGTCCCAACTTGTTGGGGGCCAGCAATAGCTGATCGTTCCTGTCTTCGACTAGTTACCGCTAGGATCGTTGTATTGGAAACTGATAGTGAATTAACCATATCCATATGAATGGTTATATCTATGGTTGTTTAAGTGGTTAGGATATATCCTGATAGTGAAATTTCGAAAAAGAAGTGACAACAAGAACTGTATTGGTTATGAAGCCACTTCGGAATGGACTTCCATTGATGAGCAGGGATTGCATGGAAGTAGTGAATACACACAATCCTTGGCATCCCAGAAGTCGTTCAATCTCTTAAATTCGAATGTCAACACATCCTTGTTTGCTCTAGATTTTCCCTGCAATGAACCTGGTCATCGCGCCACGTTAGGACTCTCCAAAAAGCAATTGGATGACAAGTTTACCAAGCTCCTGGCTTGTCTCAACAATTTCGAACCTGGAATTTGATGGTTTATTATCATTTATTATCAGTCTCCTACATGTGAGTGATGATTCTGTAGGTTCTTAGCTTTGGCTTCATATATATATATAAGTATATATATATATATACGTATATATATATATATATGGTTTTAACGGTTCTCCACACACTCTGATGTCGAACCCCAGGGCCTTTGCGAGGACGGCAAACGACGCAAGGTGCCATCTTTAAGTCAGCCAGGGACGGCCGTCTGAAGTTCACGGGTAGATTAACGGTACCTTAACCCCCTTCCCCAACACAAAAACAATGGATTCTATCCAGACATACCATGGACAAATCATCCTGAAGTCGAATTTGTGTCTTGAAACTGCGGATGCAGTTTCTTTATTTTTGTTGTAGCCTAACTTTCTCGAGTGCATGGTGAGCAGAATTTTCTATCACATATTATCACGTGCGCAGGATCAATAGTTGGATGGTTTCGCGAGGTGTTGCTGACCCCTGCAACGAGCGGTGCTGGCAATTGGGCGTGCCAGCCTGAGGGGGTCACTGTCGTTTTGTATTCAGAGTTGATGCCAAAATTTTAGCACCCCAAAAAATATATAGCAAAGTCATTTAGATTCATTTAGCTATATTCATTCATTTCGGTAAATTATTATGACTAGCAAGGGGAATCATCCCAATATAGCCTAATATAGCCGTATTTCAGGAGAGTGAATCATTTCAATTTATCCAGATTTTTCACTCTTGAGTGTGGGTTTGGAGATGTTACTGTTCTATACTTTCTACTTGGTGGCTCATCCCACTTAGTAAGTGGGTTATAACCCCAGTTATAAATGGGATAAGTAGGGTTAATCCACTTATAACTGGGGTTACCCACTTACTAAGTGGGATGAGCCACCAAGTAGATGTTTCATGCCCGCATCATCCCCCGGGTGAAGGGAAGGCTTTTGGTCATGTTTTGGTACCGTAGGATGATGAAATGCCAAATGCCAAAGGTATTGCGGGGCCCAGTGATGTGAGTTAGTTGGTTTATAAACCCCATGAAAACTATAGTTATAAGATGTTTAATAGTTATAAGTACCATAAACCATAGTGAAATTGGAGTTATTTGCACCAACTTTGCTATCCAACGGGGGCCCCACAGTGTAAGTATTCTGGATCCATTAAATCAATTCTCCAATGAGACAAGGTATCAGAGGGTAACCTGATTAACAGCCAAATGGGAACAGAATGCGAAGATCAGGTTACTATATACTGATGTATAGTAATGGGGATATCATTTATAACATTTAATGGGAATATCATTTATGTATATTACTATATACTGGGGATACAAAGCAACAATAATGGGTATTTTACCCACCGGCAATCAAACGGGGCTAGCTGGGAAAAGCCCTAAAGAAAGCCATGGAGGTTTTTCATCACCGGGAAAACCCTCGAAGTAAATTTTCGGATTTTCCAGCAAACCATGATTACCGGAGGATATTGCTTTTTCTTTTTTAATTTGTTTAGTTTTTTTTTCTGATTGATAGCTTTCAACTTGTGTTCATAAAGTCTTTACATGTCTTTACCGTCTATACCCATTATTGTAGTTATTTCAATTTCCAACGCTTGGTGGCTCAGGCTTTGCTGGTTGCTTCCAGTGTCATATGATGAACTCCCCTGCAGAACCCTGGGATGGGTAGTTTTGTTCTACGAATGGGGAGATAACGTATTACATATGTGTATATGTGTATGTTAAAGATAGATAGTTAGATTGATTAGATTTGTAGATACATAGATAAGATTTGAATTGAATTGAATTGGATTGGATTGAATTGGATTGAATTGGATTGAATGGAATAGATAGATAGATAGATCGATAGATAGACAGATAGACAGATACATAGATACATAGATACATAGATACATAGATACATAGATACAGACATAGATATCTGATATAACTAAGCTAAGCAGGCCATGTCAAAGAACTCCCTTTTTGCATGTGCAGGTTTGATGTGACGCCCGCGCGGCTGGTGACTGGCTTAATCACAGCCTCTTGGAGGAGATGAGTCATGAAAAACAGGCCATATCAATATGGGGATATATAGTATATGGTATACGCAAAAACAGCCCATTATATCTATATCCCCACTATATCTATATGGTATCCCCATTATATCTATATTTATAGCCCATATATTTTGAGTCATATAATGGGGATACCATGCAGATATGGAGATACAGTAGATGGACAAATTATTCAAACCCCTATCCATGAGTTATAGGCCACCCCTACCTCCCCCGAATTTCAATGTTATGGTTTCGTAGCGCTGTTCCTGCTCTGGGGGTTTGATTTATTTCGTCCATTCGAAGGAACGAACCAAACAAGAAAATAACATTGATATTTTGGGTGAGGGGGGTTGCTCTATGTATAAGGGTTTGAATAATTCGTCCATCTACGGTATCTATTGATATAATGGTGACTGGCTTACAGCCATAAATCGGGATAGAATAGGGATATAATGGGTATATAATTGGGATATGATATGATATAACATGGGTGATATTCTTCAGGTTGAAACGAGCAGAAATCACCAGAATAGGTATTGAACCATGAACTAAAGGGATGTAAGCAATCACACATGGACATGGGTTACTTCCAAAATGAATGGGTGGTTCCCATTTTATAGATACTTTTTTATGGCCCTTCAAATCGGGAAGATAATTTTTTTAGACTATGTTTTTTTTCGGCAAGACCATGTTGTACATGTGGTGATACTTACCCCTAAGTTTGGCTGCTTGGCATTTGGGATTGTTGGATCGTACCTCTTATGGATGTTCTCTTAGTTGGTAGGTGTCATCGTTTGTAATATAAATTTTCCATATTCGTGCTGTTCAGATAAAACCAAAATTATTTCAGGAATATGAAGGGTATGGACATTATTTTGAACTTTAAAAAATCAAAAGATGTGTCTTCAAAGGAAATCAACATGTGCTTTGACCGAACGTCTTTTTGCAACTGTGCTGGAAACGATGGATGTACCATAGCCACAAGGTCTTTAGAATGTGATCAGCAGGAAATCCTTTTACTGTATCCGGATTCAACAAACGCTCGATTGTGAAACTCACAGCCTTCAATCTCAATTTTGGATAGGAACGAGCACGAACAATACGTTGGAGTGACAGTGACAGCATGTTCTGTTACAGAATTCCCAGGATTTTACAGACATTTCCTGACGTTTCCCGGGGGAAAAACATCAAAAAAAAACCCAGGAGTTCTCCAACCCAGGAACGAGGTCTGAGTCATCCTTCCGAAGAAGGTCTCTTGAAAACCTTCCCGGAGCAGGTCCCGCGGTTGTGCTGTTGACGACATCAATGGGTCTTGACGGTCGACCGGGGGTGGCTGATGGGATGTATAAAAAACACGTGTAGAAATATCATTTGCTATGGATGAAAGGCAGATTCTCGTTTCTGGTAGGGCTTGGTGAGCGGATGTAAGCATGTTTGGTGCTTTTATTTGTTGTGGGCCTGTGGGCAGTTTGATTAAACCAAAACTAAGATACGTAGAGTTAAAGATAGTTAAAGTTCAATGCTTTCCTGTATATAAAAACGTGTTTTTTTGATCAACTGGGCAGCCAACTTCTTTTTTTCGACGCTTTGAGAAACTCAGAGTCTTTTGGCTGCCAAGACTATGATTTAACCTTCGGCGCCCAGGCATCGACTGGGCTTTAGCGTAAAAAACAGCACCGGCAGCGGCGGCTGGGTGATGATTTAGCTCTGTCTGAAAAGAAGTTCACCAAAACCCATAGGATCCATGTATGGTATATATGCTCACATTGGGGGTATATTGATGGTAAATGTTACCATATATAGCATACATGGATCCTATGGGAAAAGAAAGGAAGGTCACGGAAGGATTTTTTGATTTGTCAATGTCTGTCAAATATCTTAAGAAATTGTGAACCCCACAGTATCTCACGGTTGATCTTTCACCATGAATTGCGTGTTTTTTTGTGTATTCCCCATTATTGGACAAAGGTAGATGGACACAGGAGGTTCAACCAGCGAACTTGCGGTTGGGACAAGACAATCGTTATGTGTGATATGTGTGATCTGGATAGTTTACAAAAACATACAAACAATTTCGACACCATAGGAAATGGTTGATTTGAATTATAAACATCACTGCCCTCTGGTTATTTAACATAGCCATGGAAAATTGCCCATAGAAATAGATGGTTTACCTATTAATAGCATGGTGAATCTTTCCATGGCGAGCTGTTAGTCATAAGCAGATGGTAAACTATATGAAACTATCAAACCTGGCCTCAAATCCGGTCCGTGATTTGTCATCGATTATACAGACTCCAGGGACAAAAAATCACATTCGAAGAATCACCCATCAAGGTAAATATCTCTATATTTATATGAGAATATATATATATATAATTATATATATATGTACATACATACATTATACATATATACATGGATGGTACGGGTACGGAAAGATGGACATGTGTCATGTCTTTTGGGACCCAGGCAGCTGGGAAATCCCACCATAGTTTGATGACATGTCGGGTATGCTCCCATGGTGCGCTTGAGCAGCCCTTTGCGGTTTAAGGACACCATAAGAATGGTATGTCCATGGGAAATGCTGCATGATACAGCATGAATCTATAGTGGTCTGTAAGCATAACAGCACTTGCCTACATGTCAAAGCCGCGCAATTCCTCAACTCGTTGCTTCAAACAAAAAGTCATTGACAAGAATCAAGGACGGCATACATCGCTATTTAATATCACAAGGAAGCGTACATTCAGGTCGTTTCAGGTAACCATTCGCATGGTGATTGAACTGTTTCCTATACAGATCCAAGTTTCACGCATTGTTTGGAGAAGAACTGTTGGGATCGTTTTTGGACCCTCGCCTCATCACCGAAAAGTTGATCATGAATCACCAATCTGTCAATCAACATTGACCACAACCGAAAGAAACAATCACAAACATGAAATAATAATTAAAAAAAAATATATATACACATAATTATACCATTTTTTTGTATATAGCTTATTGCTCGGATAGTGTTGCTCGCCATGCCCAGCCCCGCCAAACGCGCGGCCGCAACGAAAGCACCGCCGGAGGGACGGCCGAGCCCGAAAACCAACGCGTCGACGTCGACGGCCCTTGCAACGCGGCGTATGTGGCAGTCCAAGGGGTGCTGACGTGTCAGGCGTATCCTCCAAGAAAGACCGAAGAATCCCCAGAAACTCTCAGAAACCCATGGATATCATGGATTTTGGGATGAAAACGGGCTGTTTTGGAAGTGGTGTTCATACTGGGATTACTTGGTGGTTAGTACTCAGTACTATCATCTAGAAAATTCACTTAGAGCCCGCCAAATAGGGTGTGGATGATTAGTTTCCACTGAAAATTGACCGGTAGTATGTTAGTCAATTACTATACTAAAAAACAGGTGTTGCATGGTGTTGCCTATTTTGGACATAGCGATTTGACGATGTATATTAAAAGCAGTATTAAAGGCAGGTTGAAATCCTGCATAATCTTATGAAGCAGGTTATGTTTTATTGCCAAGTTATTGCCAATGCTGTAAATGTGTAACTGGATGTGTTAGGGGGAGGAAAACAGTGAAGGTCAACAGTGCAACAGTGACTCATTTTGATTAATAACCAATTTCCCAGGAATGCTCTTTTTGTGAAAACAAGGTTGAACCCCCAAGCAATCCCATTCAAGCAGAATTACAACCACTATCACAATTAATGACCATACTAAAATATAATACATAGATATACACAGTATTAATCATATACCCAGCAAACCCATTCTAGCCATGAAAGATGCTCATGATATATACCATTGAAGGATGATATTCCCCATGAATCCCCAGCTCTCCAAATAGGAAATCCGGCCGCCGAGCGCTTCCATCCCTGGGCCCGAGAATGTGCGCATTGTAGCTGGGTTCAGCTGGATGGGGGCTGTTGGGGGTCGACCAGAAAAAACCGATGGGTATCCTCTGGTTGTGACTAACATAGCCATGGTATAGATGGCCCTAATCGAAATAGATGGTTTACCGTTCTTAATAGCATGGGTGGATCTTTCCATGGCGAGCTGTTAGTCATAACCAGATGGTAGATGATGGTTGAAGCCAAGAAAATAGGAAGGTCTTTGGTCGGAACTTTGGTCGGTGATTTCATCAGTGATTTCATGGGTCGGGATGGTTGGAATGTGGGTAAATGATGATTGACGCCAAGAGATATGGGATTTACAGGAGAAGGGTATTTTGTGGTGGAATTTCATGGTGGATTTGTGTATATATCTACCCTCTCAATGGGTGATTCTAAGGGGTCGAGCTGTTACTTTGGGACATGGAAAAAACCTAACTTTGAACTGGCTTAGCCACACACTTTGTTGGTTTTACTGGTATAAAGGGTGTAGCCATGTGGGTGTTTGTTTTTTGTTTTTTAAACGTCACAACATTTGGAGGAATCACATGGAATCACCTTATTTTACGGTTGGTGAATTCACTAGAATGATATGTGCCAAGTGACATCTACCGCTCAATAACGGTAGCACGCATCAATGGGGAGTTATCAACCAGAAATGGATAGGGATGACTTATCACTAGGAAACAGGGAATTCCATAGTCTATATGAGTGGTTTGGACAAAAATTAAATTCAGAGTCAACTCTTAAAGAAGACAGAGTATGTGCTGAGCAAATCTTAGTGAATAGCTTGATAATCATCGATGCGATGAGTGGTTTTTTGATGTTTTGTTCCAGTTCTTTTTGTTTAAAGGATTTTCCATATACCCTCTGGTTATTTAACAGTTCGCCATGGAAAATCACCATGCTTTTAATAGGTAAACCATCTATTTCGATTAGTGCCATCTATACCATGGCTATGTTAGTCATAACCAGAGGGCAATATGTAGGAATTCAGAAGATTTATATATAAACCATTGCTTTGGCACCGAGCCATGGGGATTTACCGGCTCATCTTAGGAGCTGATGAGACACCACTCGCGTCGCTTGGTGGAGATGGAGATCGATGGGCGAAGTTTCAAGATTTCAACATGAAACTTGAAAGACTTGAAAGGCTCCCAACCCAATGTTTCATGTTGACAATTGTTGAAATGATTGTTTTTGATTAGAATTAATAAAATAACAACCAGTCTACATAATGATTGTTGGCGTAGCCAATGGTTTGTTTGTGAGACCCACTGGTTCTAATCCTGTTTTGTTTGTCAACATTGCGGCGTGTTACATGTGCAGATTGTGTCTTTAGTCATTATGCTTATGTGTATCATATAATGGGATACACTAATAGCCATTTGTTTTGTCTACAAGGTGCGAGCCTGCAAGTATACCGTCCATTGAATCAATCAAATCAATCCAACAGTCAGTGGAATTGTGAAGACCACCAGACACCTCCTGTTTTCCCCATAGATCAATGGCCATTTCAGGAACCCACAAATGGTACAGTAGCTTCATTTCAGGATCCTGAAATTCCCATTGAAAACATACCATCTGGTTATTTAACATAGCTATGGAAAATCCCTTATAAATGGAGGTTTGAATGGGAAAATCACCCATTTTCCACGGCTATGTTAAATAACCAGCGGCCAGCGGCCAGTTTTGCCTTGGAGCCAGGCATGGAGAAGCTTCTACAAGGCACAGTGGAGCAGATTCACCAGGCGCCCCACGGCTGGGCTGGGTTTGGTTTTTATGTCCCATGGCTTATTTGTTTCGCAGAAAACCAACGAAAATACGTATTTGTTGGAGATGACATATCCCCCATATTTGAGTGATGTGAAACAATTAGGACATTTACCAAGCGCTGTAAAGCAAGTTAAATATGTGATCCATACAAAATCTAAATTCTCTATTCTCATCTGTTTGGTGGTTTGGAACATGAATTTTATTTTCCATTTCATATATGGGATGTCATCCTTCCCATTGACGAAGTCCATCATTTTTCAAGATGGTTATTGCACCACCAGTCAGGATATCAATCTTCAAGCATTTTAAGCGGAAAAATCAGCAAGGTCATCACCCCGAATATCCCCGACTTGTATCTTCTCCAGGATGACAGGATGACCATGAGCTGCAAAAAGCCGGGTTTACTTAATCTGCGTGGTGGTTTCAAACATGTGTTAATTATTTTCCATTTTTCATATATGGGATGTCATCCGTCCCATTGACGAACTCATATTTTTCATGATGGTTATAAAACCACCAACCAGTCTTTATATACCATGGTTTCCCTATTGAATCACCTTTTTCCCATGGTTTTCCCATGGTTTTCCCATGGTTTTCCTATGGTTATTGCACCACCAACCAGCAATGCTATTGCGAATGCTTCATGTTCTCAGCTCACAGCGGCAGGCTGTGAGGCAGGAGTTGGAAAGCCTTCGAGTCAAAGATATCGACGCAAGGCGGGCTGTGGAGGGATGTTCGCTTGAAATGGTGACACTTTTCCATGTATACTTGGTGGCTCATCCCACTTAGTAAGTGGGTTATAACCCCAGTTATAAATGGAATAAGTAGGGTTAATCCATTTATAACTGGGTTATAACCCACTTACTAAGTGGGATGAGCCACCAAGTTTGAAGGTTTCCTGAGTCATAGGGGTACCCCTAAATCATCATCCATCTGTTGATTTATAAACCAGCTATTGGATGCTATTGGGGTATTCCCAGTTTAGGAGTTGTCCCC